AAAGAAAAAAGATGCAGCGGAGGCTAGAAGAAGAAGATCAACGACAAAAACATCTGCGTCATCAAATAAAACACCTACACCAAAGAAAGCTAAAACTACGAAGAAAAAAACTATTGCTACAAAAAATGATTTTAATAGTTCTATTAGTGTAAGTACATTATCCATTAGTCATGTTTCATTAATTAAACAGTCAATTGCTGAAAAAGCAAGCGGACAGTCTGAAAAGGAAAAACAAGATGATGAAGACTTACACCAGGCAATACTCAATTATTATGAGGAAGAGGATGAATCAAGTGATCCTGATTCAGACGAAGAAATTGAATTAGGAGAAAATGAGGAAGAATATAAGGATATGCGCCTCAGTCGTAATTTTAATATTTTTACTTGATTAAAATAATTTTAGGAAAACTACGAAAGAATTTCGTTGTGCCAACAGCACTACTTAACCGAGCCCAAATCCTTAAGGACCAACGTCGTGGTATATTCGTATATCAGTGTGAATCTTGCCGCAACCATCAGAAGAAAAGGCCCTATTTTTTATTTAAAATTGGACATCCAGGATTGTCAATTTTAACAGTAGAATTATGTGCCGATGATCTGGACAAAAACATTTCATTAGGAATGCACTACAATGGATACTTTGGTAAAAAATTAATTATTATAATTGTATATTTTTTCAGGTAATTCATCAAATTATTTGTTATCAGGCGCGCAGTCGACAAAATTCGATAACGGTATTATTATATAATAGAACATGAAACAATTAAATTTAAGATGAGAAGACATTGAAATTTCGTCGACTTGAGGGAATTACAAAAGGAAATGAGAAGAAATTGTTAAACCTTATGAAATATTGCTGGATACTCCACCAGGTACTTTGTAATTATTTATTTAAATAATATTCCATTAGTGTTCGCAATGTTCTGACCTTACAAAGAAAATGGCTAGTGATCTTTTTCTTCAGAAGAGTGGTGAAAAATATGAACTTAGCTTCATGGTATTTTTTTAAACTTAATGAAACCAACCATTGTAATTAAGGTTTGTTCCGTTTGCTCTTCGTCTAACATAGACTACCAACAAAAAACCTACGATAATAAAAGCAAAAATTAAGATAGACAACGATTAAATTGATATTAATATTAAATATTAACTTTTGAATAAAATCATTTTTTAACAAATTAATTATTAAATCGTCATTTCGATTTACATATTTAAATTAATTAATCAATTTCTTATTTAATTTAGGCAACTACAATAAAATTTTAAAAAATCAAGGTAATAGCTTAATTTGAATTAGTCACATCTTAAATTAAGATGGACCAGGAAATGTATGAACAAGCAATTGATGGTCTAAAGGAAAGCGTTATACGTTTCTCACGTCAACTAAACACTTTGGAATATGTGCGCAAAGACGACAATATGCTAAAAAATGAACTCTACGATGCTTTTATTAATTTTCACGAAAAGCGATATCCACTTTCGAAAGGTCAAGTGCATGAATATCTACTTAGAGAGAGGAATGCTTTGGCAAAAATTGTATATATTTTAATTTATAACTTATAATTTAAATTTAGGCAATTACTGAAGTTGTCAAGGAGGAGTTATATCTTGAGCTTCATAATCCGTTTAGCAAATTCTGGTCGAAAATAGATTTAGATATGGCAGTCAAGATATTTAACAAGCACGCAAGCATTCACGGACCAATCGCGAGAGAAGGTTAAACAAAAAACTAATATATTATATTTTTAAAATTAGATTCTCCAATAATATTTATGAGAGAGCATGCGGATAGTTTGACCACGATTCAAACCATCAAAGAGGACAAAGAAGTACAAACTGAAGGAAGCTTTGAACAACAAGTTGTACCTGAAATGGCAGAAAAAACAGATTAAACGATGAACGTTTTATAAGTAAAATTAAATCGTAGAATAAACAATTAATATAAAATGCTTTTTTCTTAAAATGTTTATTCTGTTGTTACCTAACAATTTTACAAATTTTAATCTAGTTTTTAGATGAATTATTCTAAAAAATTTGGAAAATATTCTGTCAATCATTTTTACAGAGAAGATGCATCAGAGACTATTAAAAGCGCTAAATTCAAAATAGGAGTTTTCAGGTAAAATATAAATTTTGTTTTAATTTAAATATCTTGTAGAAATGTGTTCACTGTTACAAACATAGAAGATGCACCCGAAGGGAGCGATCAGTTAATGGAGGATTTAATTGACTATTTTATCGCAAAGGCAGACAAAGCGACAGGTGCAAAAGCAGAGAAGTGCTCTATAATTATAAGAAGCACAGTTCTTGAGAAGCCCATTCAAATTCCATACCGTGGACTAGCTCAAAATACGCCACAAGTTGTTATGGAGCAATTAGATTCTGTGGACCAAAGTGGTAAAAGAATGGGAAGGCCATCTCTTTACAGTCAACCAATCCATATTGAGGTATTCGAAAATTAGTTATAAAGCCTATTTTTTATTAAGATTGTTATGGGGCCTTCTCATGAGGAGGCTTTAGAATTGATACAAAAAGGTCAAAGTGGAAGTGGTAGAAAATCACGGGAAATCAAGCATGGAATAGATACAAACAATCTAATAGAGGTTTTTCCATTTAAAGAATAATTTATATTAAGATAGGTTCAAAACGAAAATCTTGGAGAACACTACAAATATCATTGCCTTCTATTGGCTGTACAGCTTACAATACTTTACGTCAACATGTCTAAGACAGTCAAAGCAAATAAAACATTTCAAAGACTTGTAAATGGCAAAGGAGCAAGCGCTAAATTACATCGCTGCGCGTATATCAAGGATATACTTACACAAATGAAGAGGCACGGAATCAGATATCCTGCAAATTTACAACATTATAGTGTGGAAGAACATGTTCCATTGATACAAAAATTTTTAAATGCACGATTTCCTGGGCAATACAGATTATCGGTTTTTGGTGAAAATGGCCAGACTCGTCCTATTTGGAAAGGACCTAACCGAGCACAAAAAGATATTAGTCTTTACTTAAAGGATGGTCATTACTATGGCATAAGGAGATTAAATACATTTTTTGGCAAAAATATATATTATTGCTTAGACTGTGAAGCTACATACCAAAATAATATTAAACATAGACAAATATGTGCAGCAAAATGTCCACGTTGCTGTGGGATGGGTCCAGATTTTCCATGTAAAGAAGTTGATAATTTTGAATTAAAGTGCTTAAAATGTTATAATTTGTTCCGTAATCCATCATGTTACAAACGACATGTAGATAAAGGAATTTGTAGGATTTTCAAAAGGTCTATTTAAAATAAAGTAAAAATAAAAGAATATATAGATGCAAGGAATGTGGCCAAATCTATAGTGTTAAATATAATGAAGGGCAGCATATGTGCTATGTTCATTTCTGTTCTCTATGTCGATCCTGGCACAATCGTGATGAGAAATGTTTTGTTCAAACTATTGTTCCTAGTCAAAAACAAAGAGATTATCTTTTGGTAAGAGTATTTTATTTTAAATTGATAAATTATTTAGGTTGTATTTGATTTTGAATGTGAGCTTATGTCACCTTTAAAAAATGCAGACGAATGGAGTAAGCTTGAAAAGGACATAAATGACTTACCTGAAGACGAAAATTATCGGTTGCATCACGTGAATTGTGTTTCGGTTATTTAAATCAATAATACAAATAAAAATTTCAACTAGGCACTTTTGTTATGCTCGATTTGTATGAAAAACGATGAATGGAAAGACGAGAATACGGGTGGATGTAAAAACTGCGGTCCTGGAAGATCAAGAATGCAAAGTTGGTCAGGCGCTAAATATGAAAATCCTTTACGTGTATTTCTTGAATGGTTAATAGATGGATTGGGTAGAGAGCGGGCCGGTCGCACATATGCAATCTCACATTATGGAGGGTTTGTATTCTATTTGATAAAATTTATTTTTTACTTTAGACGTTATGATATGCATTTGCTTCTTGGAGAATTAATAAGGCATTTTTCAATCGAACCAAATATAACCAGGACAGGAAACAAACTTTACGAGGTTCTTTTGAAGAAAAAAGCTGGATTTTGTCCGTATATATCATTCCGTGATTCTTTTAATTGGACTATGCTTAAGTTGGAACAGTTACCAAGGGCGCTTGATTTAGATATTGATGAAGGAGGAAAATCTTTCTTTCCCCACGGATGGAATTTTAATAAAAATATGGATGTACGTCTTGACGGATTACCTGATCGTCATTATTATTACCCCGATTCTATGGGAAAAGATAGAAGAAAAATGTTTGAAGAATGGTACAATCTAAACAAGAACGAGCCATTCTGTCTTCGGGAAAAAATAGTTGAATATTGCGAACAGGATGTAAGAATACTGGCACATGCGCTTGTTAAACTTCAAAGACTTTTCTTTGAACTCGCTCCTGAACCATCTAAAAGAGATGATATCATTATTTCTTCAATGACTTTGGCTAGTGCATGTCTACGACATTTTTGTAATTTTTAAAATAAATCTAAAATATTTTTATTTAGGCATAAATTATTTGAAAAATAACCAAATTGGTATTATTCCTGACAATGGATATCACAGAGATACTAATCAGTCTGCAATCGCCTTAAAATTTATTCGATGGCTCGAATATAAAACAGGCCTTCAAATACAAAACCGAGAATCTGCTGAAGGCGAATTTAGAATTAAAGTTTCAGATGGAAGTCTTCTACGACTTGATGGATATATCGAAGGCAAAAATGGTGGTGATGATATAGCTATAGAGTTTCTCGGATGTGCATGGCATGGTCATGAATGGTTAATATATTTTTATTTATATTTATATATCGATTAAGCCTCTACCGTCCTCATGAAATCTGTCTGAATGGTAAAACATCGTTGTATAATAAAGACAAATTAAATGAGAGAATAGATTTATTGAAAAACGAAGGAATATATACTTACATATTTTGGGAGTGCGAAGTAAGCAAAGCGTTAGAAGAAGATCCCTTAATGTCACTTTACTTCGCTGAATTGCCAGACATTGGTCCTTTATTTCCACGTGATGCATTCCATGGTTGTGAATTTTTTTACAATTATAATCTTGCTACTCTAGGTGGAAGAACTGGTCCATTATCGCTTAAATGCAATCTTGAAGATATTGCAGAAAATAAATTTGAAATAGTGTGCTATGACGTCGTTAGTCTTTACCCAGCCGTGAACTTTTACGCTTTTTATCCTATTGGTTAGTCTCTTAATTTTAAATAATACATATTTTTAGGACATCCAGAAGTATTAGATTTGAATCTTGAAATAAATTGGACAAAACCTGAAGATGTTCATCCTTATCGAGGACTATTTAAAATATTTATCATTCCACCTGACAATTTATATTTACCTGTAATTCCAGAAAGAATTAACGGAAAATTAGTGAGTCATTCTTTTAATTTTTCTGTATATGTAAAGATATTCCATTTATGCCACCGCTGCGCAATCGAAATGGAACCGGGAGTAGCGAAGCGAAAAGAAAATAAGTATGACAGAGAAAATGGTAGAAGATGGTGTACACATAACGACAAACAACGGGGATTTGTAAGCACTACTTGTTCAGTGGAACTCGAGTTAGCCTTGAGAATGGGCTATCGCGCAACAAAAGTTTTTAGCATTTATCACTGGAATGAGTGGTCTGATACGTTACTACGCCCATACGTTCAAGACATGATGCGCTTAAAAATTGAGGTTTAATTTAAGAAAAGATTATTAACTTTTTTTAAAGGCAAGCGGTTGGCCCAGCAACGTTCTCTCCCCAGAAAATCCAGAATTAGAGGAAAAGCTCAAAAATGATTTTATCCATCGCAATCAGAAGGAATATGGTATAAAACTTGTACCTTCACGAATTGCCAAAAACGAAGGATTGCGTTATTTAGCTAAAACCTGTAATAATTCAATGTAAGAAAATATTATTATTTCTTATATCTCAATTTTAGGTGGGGACGATGGGCACTTAGATGCAATTTAACTCAAGATTGTATAACTAGCTCTCCTATAAAATTCCACACAATTCTTAATGATCCTAAGCTGGAAGTAGGAGCTATTGAAATGTTGGCACCGAATCTCTTTGCTATCCCTTATCGGAATCGAAGTGAATTTGTCCGACCTCATGACAAATACAATATTATTTTGGCTCTAATAACGACTGCAACTGCAAGAGTTATGCTTTATGATTATATGGATCGAATTGTTAAGGAAAACAAATGTAAACTCCTCTACACGGATACAGATAGTTGTTTCTTTGTCAAAAAACTAAATAAAAATGCACCATTTCGTGTGGGAGATATGCTTGGAATGATGAGTCGCGAATATGAAGACTGGTCTATTGTAGCTTTTTATACGGGCGGCTGTAAACAGGTATTAATATTTAATTTTTAATTAGCAAAAAATTCTTAGTACGCAATGAAGATGAAACATAGGGAAAGTGGCGAAATTAAATATATTATCAAATGCCGTGGATGTTGGGATAGTGTTGACTCTCCATTAGATTTTAACCAATTTCGAGTATAATTTTTTAATTTTTAATTCAAGTTTAATTTCTAGAGAATGGTAGAGTCTTACGGAGATGATCAGGACTCAGTTGTCCTAAAAAGAACTCATTTTCAACCAAGCTGGCGACAAGGTGAAGTAACAAGTCGTTCTCAAACAAGGTATTAGTAAAATAGAATTTTTAAAAGAAATATTTGCAGACGCTACGCTCCGATCTATGATAAAGGAATAGTTGATGCAAATTTTGACTGCTATCCTTATGGTTACAGAGGAAATCCCATTATTGATCCTACAGAATAAATATTTTTGCATAAATATACAAATTTTTAAAATCTGTATTTTATTTGTTTTCAACTTTATATATTACTTTAAATTACTTTAATTTTTAATTTTATTTAAGTAAAGTGAAGTATGATTAGTGATAATAAAATAGGTAATCAATTACTAAAGTATTAATTTAAAATTTATAGAAACGACAGCATGCATTCTTGAGCGATTACATTTAAATCACGAAGCAAAATCGTATCCTCCTGAAGAAATTCTTGGAGATCAACAACAAAATATATTTGTATCTATTCGCAACGTTTTGGCTTTGATAATCGATTTAGAGCCAATTTCATTGCTTGGAAGAACATTTAGTTCAATAGAACAATACTTTATATGGCAGAAGGCGCGCTTTTTTGGAGACTTGGAAATTGCTAGTCATGTTTTACTGTCCGATAATCCTTTGACTATTCGACGAATCGGTAAACGTATCCGTCAATATAATCATGATGAATGGAATTCTGTTCGTAATAAAGTAAAATAGTAAAATTTTATCTTGGCTAATCTTATGTTTAAATTATCAGGTTATGTACACAGGTCTTTGGGCAAAATTCACTCAGAACACGCAACTATTCAACCAGTTACGTGCCACAGGCGATGGTCTTATTACCCAGGCTTCAACATCAGAACTACACTGGAGCAACGGTGTAAGTCCAAAAAGTGCTCGACTTAAAGATCCTAGTCAATGGGAAGGTGATAATATACTTGGCAAGCTTTTAATGGAATTAAGAAGCGAAATTAATACAAGTATTTATTAATTTTTTAAAAACATTAAAATTGAATTGTAAACTTTATTTTGAACATAATAAACTTCTTTCTCTGTCTTTGCGCCTGTAATTATACATTTTCCTGTTGTAAAAACTATGACAACTGAACGTAAATCATTCATCCTTAGGCACATTCCCGGGAAAAATTCTGGGTTGTAAGAAATATATCGAGCTAACCATTTTGGTGGAGCAATTCGCATCGTATCATACAAGGCTAAAAATAGTAATTAGCTTATAAATTAAACAACCTGGTAAGTTAAGATGACCGGGAAATTCAAATGAAGATACAATATTTTGTATTTTAAAAGCCCGCATATTTATTGCTAAGTCACATGCAGAGGATAAGAGGTGAACAAAATTCCTAATACCAATTTCTGATTCATTAACCGATTTTGTTCCAACACATACAATCTTTCCGTTAGAAAATACCAGAGCAGTAGACCTAATGGGTTGTTCAACTTTAATTATAAGTGCTGAGAAACGTTCTGGAGAATATTTTGAATTTTTAATAATAGTTGCAATTGTATATAGATCGAATTTATTATTTTTATCAAGTAGTTGTGCCGTAGATACAACATTTTGTATGATTACCTTAGGAAACATCTAAATATATAAGTCAAGCAAAATATTTTTAAAAATAAAAAAATGTTCAAAGCACCTTTCGCTATGGTTATTTCCGGTGCCACAGGCACCGGAAAAACCCAATGGATAATGAAATTTCTAAACAATTTTGAAGAATTAGTTGAACCTCCGCCAAATAAAATTTTATATTGTTTTGGCGAAATGAACGAAAATATATTTAAACTAAAAAATATGGGAATTACAACTTATAATGGGGTTCCAGAAGTTGATCTAATTAAACAACACCAATTAATAGTACTAGATGATTTAATGCTGAATATCCCTGCGGAATTTTTAGATTTACTGTTCACTCGGGGATCGCATAATTGGAGTATAAGCGTAATCTTTGTAACGCAATCACTTTACGGACGAGATATCAGGACTGCTCGTGCAAATGCACATTATATTCTTTTAACCAAAAATCCTCAAGGACTTCTCCAGGTACGTACATTAGGATCTCAACTTTTTCCAAAAATGTTAAACTATTTTCTCGAGGCTTATCGTGATGCTACTAGTGATAAATTTTCCTATTTACTAATTAATATGCATCCAAGTACGGAAGAGAATTTGAGACTTTCTACTAAAATATTTCCAGGTGAAAAACAGACTATATATTTGCCGCTATAATATATAAGTACTTGAAAAAACTACTAAATTGAAACATGTATAACTATAGTCCATACGTTAAAGAAAATTTTGAATTTTTACAGCGTTTAGCTAAAACATCTTCCGATAAAAAGAAAAACGCCTTAATTCTATCAGCCAGCGCTGATCAAATATTAGCAATAGTTGAAATCTGTGCTAATATTTTAAAAAATAATTTTATATTAAATAGAAGACAGCGCAAAAAATTAGCTCAATTTGCTGAGTTTTATAGAGCTATCGCTCGAACACGTACTGAAAAAAGCGCCAGAAATCGAATACAACAAGGAGGTAGTGCCGCTCTAGCAGCTATACTTGTACCAGTGCTTGGAGCTTTAGCGGAACATATTATTCATAGATTCACACAAGAATGAAACATACAAAGAAAATGATTATGGTTCCTGAAAGTGAATATCTTGCACTTCTAAGCATGATTAAAGGCGTAGATTTTCTTCAAAATGAAAAGGTACAAACCGACTCAAAAATTAAACAGACTCTTACTGATCCAAATTTAAGTGAAGATGTAAAGGCACAAAAATATAAATTGTTATATAAAAAAAGAAGACAACTCAAACATGAATTAGAAAATAGGCCTCAAAAGGTGATAATCGATGAAACAGCGAGAGCTACAGAAGTTGCTCCTTACCTAAAGGAAACTGCAGCCCCTAAAGTACAGGTACTGCCTTTACAATCAAGTTCAGAATATCAAACAGATTCAGAATTTACATCGCCAAAACTAATGAAAAGAAGAAAAACAACACCTTTTAATGGAATTATTTCAAAGAGATATTCTAAGGATTTAGAAAATTATGTTAAAGATAATGCTGAAAAATTTAGAATACGTAAGAATGGAAGCTTTGAATCTAATGTCAAAGGAAGAATTGTAAAGAATAGTAATTTCACTGAAGTGCTCGAATATGTACAAGGTGATATATCGTCACCCCCTAAAGGTTTTAGTTTTCTATTTAATCGATTATCCAAAGACCCATTAGTAAAAGAAATGATCAAAGAGACGCAAGGAGAAAGTAGTAATGAGGAAAGTTCTGGTAGTCAATCAGGTAGCGGAAAAAGAAAGAAAAGAGTCTTGGTAAAAGTCCTGCCTATAAATTTGCAAAAGAAAAGTAAATTTATTCCACAAATATGGGAAAAGCTTTAGATAACTTTTTATCAAAAATATATTATTCGTTAAATTCTCCTGCTTCCTATGCAGGAATAAATCGCGTTTATGAAGAAGCGAAGCGCAAATATCCAAAGATAAAATTTCAGGATGTTTATAATTTTTTGCATAAGCAAAGAGTGTATACCATGCATAGACCCTCCAGAAAAAATTTTCCAAGGCTAGTTACACGTCCAAGTGGTCTTCACACTGATTGGCAGGCAGATTTAGCAATATTTGATCAGATAGCTAAACATAATGATAGTAACAGGTATCTATTAGTATGTATTGATGTTCTAAGTCGCATGATTTTTGTATCGCCTGTCAAAACTAAGAGATCAGAAGATATGATTGAGGCATTTGAAAAAATCTTCAAACTTTCTAATGGTATCTTGCCTCATAAACTATACACTGATCGCGGGTTAGAATTTGAGGCTAAAAAAATGAGAGATTATTTTAGATCAAAGAATATTGATAAGCGTGTAGTTTATAGTCCTGATGTGCATGCTTCAATGGCAGAAAGGGCGAATCGTACAATAAAGGAAAGATTATATCGATATTTCAGTGAAAAAAATACACTGCGATGGGTTGAGGCTATTCAGAAAATTGTATCGGGAATAAATTCTAGCGTAAACCGTATTACAGGTGTTACCCCTAATTCAGTTACTTTTAAAAATTCTCGAAAATTATTTGAGAGGCTATATAAAGGCACTGGTACAACTATTAAAACAACTTCTAAACTCGAGCCTGGACAAGTTGTCCGCATTTCAAAAGAAAAGGGTAAATTTGAAAAAGGATATTTACCTAACTATACTGACGAGCTTTTTCTTGTACATACAACTAACGACACACGTTCGCCTATAACATATAGGTTAAAAGATTTTGAAGACAATATAATTGAAGGAATATTCTATAGAGAAGAGTTGGTGCCCACACAAGAGGATACTACTCATCGTATTGCCGAAATTTTAAAGACTCGTACTACACGTACTGGGATAAAACAACATTTTGTGCGTTGGATTGGTTATAAAGACATTCATAACAGTTGGGTAAACGACAAAGACATCGTTAGACATTAATTATGGATTCATTTTATGTTGTCTTACCTTCAAATTCAGGAGATGTTGAAGGAAATACTACTTCAAAATTCACAGTAAGAATGCCTGATACTCTCGAGTTAGATTCAAGTTGGACTGTTGCACTTTCAAATATTATTTACCCATTTTCATTCTCTTTACTTGGAGATTCCGATGAGCAGGAATCTATTACAATTTATCGCCGATATGGAAAGGAACTTCTATCTGTTCGAATCGAGATACCCGATTTGTCTTTTGCTTCAGAAGAGGCCTTGGAAGAGGCCATAAATGCTGTTTTGCTTGATACTTGGAAAAAGGAATTGGATCGCGAGCGAGAGGAAATGAGACTTGAAGAGAATAAAAAAAGAATTTATGGAAATCTTCGTAGAAGACGAGCTGTTGAGACTATAAGCGAACAATTAGTTAAAAATGGTTATTTTGATTTATCAAAGGAAATTGCATTTAATTTCATGAAATTTTTAGGGAAACAAGGAATTCGTTTACCTCCTATAAGTCCTCTTGCAATAGATGGTATAGAAATGGTTCGTTTCACTCCAAATCAAGATCAAATAGAGCGGATCAAACAGGCACTTGATGAATTTACTAATCCTCCCTCAGCCAATCAAACTGAAGAAGAACACTCAAATGTTACTACTATGGAAGAAACCCGTGAATCTACTCCACAAACACAGACTGAGCTTAAACAAAAAGAAATATTGCCTGCTGCTAACCATGAACGTTTCATTCAACAATTGGAAACGGAAGGTTACTTCGATATGCCAAAGGATCGTGCTTATAAATTTATACAATATTTAAATAAAGAAATTAAGGGGGCAAAACTTCCAGTTCTATCTTCGGTTCCGGAAAGCTCTGTAGAAACTGTTCGATTAAAGCCGCAAACTGAGCAAAAAGATTTAATAATAAATGCAATTAAAAGTTTTGCATCAACTTCCGCGCCTAAATCTGAAAATCCTTTACAAGAAGCAAGTATAGTGGAAAATGTTGATGAAAATCATGAAACAGATACGCCTGCTCCTTCTCAAGTTCAAGTTAAAAATCAAATTAATGAAAAAACAGAAAGTTCGCCTACATCTGATAGTTCTATAACTGATGATCTTCCTATCCCGAAGTCTCCTGTATCATATGCTCCTACTGAAGTTCCAGTATCTTCTGAAGACAAATCGGATGATATACAACAGGATACTGAAAAGCAAAAGGATAAAACTACCTTAGACGTTAAAATAACACCTCTTTCTGATACTTCACCAACCCTAACAGATGAACAAAAAACTTTAATAGATATGGCTGTTCGTGCAGCTACAAGGTCATTGACTAACAGTGTAGAATTGGCAAATCAACAATCACAACTAAATAAAGAACTTAATCAGAAATATTGGGAAGATGCTCGTTATAAGTATGCACTAATAGATGAAGAGGTAACATTAAATGAGACGGGTATAACTAAGAGAAAAATACCTGCAACTATTCTAAGATTGGTTGTAACACAATTAAAACTATTGTTTGGTCGAAGAAATGAAATAGATAAATGGATACAAGAATGTTTAGAGGCAAAAGATAGGGTTTCAGAAGCACAAATAGAAACTATAGCGGCAGAATCACGCGGCGATGTTACTGATGCACGAAAAGCTGCAGATCGTGCTAAGGCCTCAGAACAAAAGGTTAAAGAATTAGCCAGTCAAGTTGAAGAAGCTGTTGCGGGTCAGAAAATTTTATCGGAAGAAATTGTAGGCAAAGTTGAAGCTGAACTTTCGAAACAAGACTATGAAACTTCATCATCAAAACTAACAACTCATGATGATGAAGAGACTTCGACACATGAAGAGGAAAATAATGAAAGTCAAGTCGAACATGAATCAATAAATGAAGAAGAGCCTAAAGGACCTTCTGAAGATACGCAGGAAACTGCTAAAGAGCCTTCTACACACGAAGAGGAAAATATTGAGGAAAAAGCTGAGCCAATAGATGAAGTCGCTGAAGAGCCATCTGAAGATAAGTATGAAAAGGATGAAGAAACTTCAGCACCTGCAGATGAGGAAAATGCTGACGAAGAACATGATCAAGAAGACGTTGAAGAACCTCAAGGAACATCTGAAGATACGCAAGAAAATACTAAAGAGCCTTTTACACATGAAGAGGAAAATATTCAGGAAGAAGCTGAATCAAATGATTTTGTCGCTGATGAGCCATCTGAAGATACTCAAGAAAATGATGAAGATCCTTCGACAATCGTAGAAGATGAAAATATTGAACCTCATGAAGAACATGAACAAGAAGTCGCTGAAGAAACTTCTGAAGATACGCAAGAAACGGATGAAAATCCTTCGACAGTCGTAGAAGTAGAAAATATAGAACATCTTGAAGAACATGATCAAGAAGTCACTGAAACGCCTGAAGAAACTTCTGAAGAAATATTGGAAAATGTTCAAGAGTCTACGACACTCGAAGATGAAAAAAATATTGAACCTCATGAGGAAATTGAACAAAAAGTCACTGAGGAGCATGTAGAATCTTCTAAAGGAAAGATTCAGGAATTTCCAGGAGTTGCTGATGAAGATGAAGAGCCTTGGACTCCCCCCTTAGAAGAGCCTGTACCACATTCAATGGACACTCTTGAAGATAATGAGTCGCATGAATTACCAACAATAAGTGAAAAAGACGCTGTAGAACCATGGTCCTCTGAAAAAGAAGGCTTAGGAAAGCCACAGGAATCTCCAGCAATAATTAATAAGGAAGTGGGTTGGACTCCTCCTGAAAAATTGAATAATCTTCCCACAATTGAAGAAGATCCAGAGCAAGAAGAAATTCAACCTGAGGATCTAAGCTCGCTGCCTGAGCTCCCGCGTCCTGAAATGTTAATTGCTGACCCTCCTGAACGTCCTTCCTTTTGGAAAAGCTTCTTTGGTGATGGAGGTAGGCATGTTGATGATAAAACCAAAGAACTTCCACAACAAGAAAATGTTTATCAACAAAAAGTTCACCCGCAAAAAGAATCTGAAGAGTTAATTGACTCGGAGCCTAAGAAAATACATCTAGCTGAATATGCTTATCCTCCTGAATATCTAAAAATGCTTCTTAGCTTCTCCAATATACAACTCGCTGATCCAAAATATCAATGGGTTTCCATACTATACGATAAAGTGCATAAGCGTTTTCATGTCTTCTTGCAAGGAAACGTACAATTTATTAAATTAAGTCGTCAACTAGCTTATACTCTTGGTTTTGATTCTGAGAAGGTTCATAGTGGACAAGTCGCAAAGTATATGCCTGATATATCTGGAGGTGTGCGTCAATTTTTAGTTTATGCACCAAAACTTGTTGAAAATAGCATAATAGGTAACGTAACTGCACCCTTATTACGTGTTGTTAATGTATCTGGTGAACCTGGAGAAAGTGTTTCAGAAGTATATATGACCGAACATCATCATCGTTTATTAGGTAAACGCCATCCAGACATTACTATTGAAATTCGAACCTTAACTGGAAATCTAGTAAAATTCCATTGGGGAACTTGTATATTAACATTACACTTTCAACGCTCACTATTTTAAAGCATGACACACGTTAGTTTAGACATAGATAAAATTGACTGGGAGCCATTTTTGAGTGCTCAAGACGGAGGAGGAAGATTACTTGAAGATAATCGTTATTTCCAAGGAACTAGGTATCAAAGAGGATTTGGTGTACTTGGGGCTGTAGGGCGTTTTTTAATGCCTATTGTTAAAAATATAGCCACAACTGCAGGAAATGAAGCTGTAAATGTTGGAAAAAATATTCTCGAAGATGTTTCACAAGGTCGCTCAGTAAGTGAAGCATTGAAACAGCATGGAAGCGAAGGTCTTCAAAAAGTAGGGAAAAAACTTGAACAATGTGGGAAAGGCAAAAGAAGACGAAAGAAAAAACAGAATGTTATTATAGATAATTTAGGAAAGAAACGAAGAAGATATAGAGACCAACTCAGCTTTGATGATATCTGAGTATATAAGTATTAGCTTATTATTATTCATTAATCAAAATGACGACTATTAAGAAAATTGACAAAGACAGTACTGAAGGGGTTGATAATCGCCTGACCTTCTTTTCTATACCGTCAACAAATGTTGGTATTCAACGTTCGGCGTATAAAGAATTGCTTCCCCTCAATGCTCTAAATCAATCTGCAGGTCCGTTTATTTTTCGCTATTTTGGTGACTCTCTCTACCTTGATTTAAGTAAAACATATTTGAGTCTTGTGTTATCTCTTGAACGTAAGGTTGATGCAACAGGTGAATGGGTCCCAATTGTTAAAGACTTGTCAGGAAATTTCGCGGGTGATAGTTTTACAAGTGTTGCTCAATATTTAGGGTTAACATGGATTCGTCGTTTAACTCTATCTATTAATGGTATTCAATGCTATGACTCGGGAATCCATTATGCATACAGATGTATACTTCTTCATGAGCTAGGATCAGATAGAGAGGTCAGCAAGGGTCTTTATGAAGCAGCACTTTATTATAAAGATGCTGTTGATAAGAATGATTTTGAAGGTTCAGGATTTAAATCGCGGGCATCTAGATTTGCTAATGGTCAGACTTGCAGATTACTTTCCCATTTGGATTATGATATGGCAAGACAAAATCAGCTTTTAATTCCTAATAGTGATGTGCTTTGGACATTTTACAGAAATACCGATGAATTTCTTATTCATGCTCCAAAATATCGCAAAAAAGCTGGTGAAGAATTATTAAATAATACAAGCACATACCGCCTACGACTTCATGATATGAGAATTTTTGTTAAACAAGTTGATTTAAGTATGTCACTAAATAATGCTATTGCTAGACATTTAGAACAGTCTCCTGCAAAATATGCCTATAGAAAGATTGAAATTAGGAGCGTTTTTCTTGGAAAAGGTCGCCAGGAAATTACACATGCCGCGTTCACAAGTACGTGTCCGAGACGGTTAGTGATTTGTTTTGTAAGCTCGCCTGCATATACGGGAAATACTTCGTTGTCACCGTTCACATTTGAGCATGCGAACCTGCGAACTGTTTCAGCAGAATTTGGCGGCTTCCAGTTTCCAGCGGTGCCATATGATCTTGATTTTTCGAATGACAGCTTTGTGCGTGCTTTTGTTGATATGTATGTAGGTATGGACTTAGATGCTTGGCCAAATTCTGATCAAAGAACTTTAAGTATAGGGATGAAGGAATTTTCACAATCATCTTGTTTCTTTGTTATACCTATGACTTCAACGCTCGAAGACACTAACGGGCTGGAACTTATTAGACAAGGAACAACAACGGTCCGTTGCTTGTTCAATCATCCTGTAAAGGATGAAGGATATGAAATGATAATCATGGGTGAATTCGATGCAATAATGTCCATAAATGCAGATCGTGTGTTAAGTACCGATGGATCTGTCTAATAATGAATTCTCTCCAAATCGAAAATCTACTCAAAAAATATAAACCTCTAAAAAATAAGTTTCTTGGTGTGTTTTCTTCTGATAATATACCAAATAAAGAATGGACTAAGCCTTTTTGTTTTATTGTAAATAATATGCGAAAAGGAACAGTTGGCGAACATTGGATTGCTTGTTATTCTGATAATCCGAGTACGGTGGAATACTTTGACTCATTTGCAGAAGAACCAAATTGTGACATGAGACAATCTATGCTTGGCAAGTTTTCTAAAGTGAAACAAAATAAATTTTCTTTGCAATCCCCTTTGTCAGATACTTGTGGCCATTATTGTATATATTTTCTTGTATTGCGTTCAAAAAACAATTTCTCTTCAACATTACAAAAATTACATTCAATTCCCCCAGAAGGCCGTGATGCCTTTTTAAGAAGATTTATTCAGCATCTTTCGTATATAAGATAAGAATTAATATTATAATTTAGTTACTAAAATGATATATTCAATTTTAATATTATTTCCACTATTTTGTGTAATATTATCACAAAATGACAGTAATATACTATTTCCCTTGCATGGACCCTTTCCTCCAAATGTAAATGCTTGTTTTGCTATTGACGGGGGGCATGCACTTTCTATCGGTCCTGCTATAACTCCGAATAAAGATATTCTTCTTATAATAGCATATATTTTGGATTTGGGTTTATTATTTGTCTTGGCTTTATTATTCAAACTACATACAAATATCCGTAAGAAAGGAAAGGATGCGATGACAAGTATTCGATTTGCTAAAGGCCCTCTTGGTATATAAGAGGCATAGTTATTTATTACAAAACAGTTTGCTATTAAAAAATGCGTACTAGCGACAACATGACTGAACCTATAAGTCCTACACATGGAGTTCAATTAACACCACTTATTCAAATACTTTGTCGTTTCAATGGAGGATGTGCCCCAGAATCACTTCATCGCGAACTACGGAAAAAATTTAATGAAAATATCAATTACTTGCAGACTCTTACTAGCATGACAAATGATGATGTTGCCATTTCAGGAATTGGTCAAAGAGATTTTACTGAACCTAGAAAGAAAGCTCTACTCACAAACCATCTAAAGCATCAACAGATGGAAATTTATCCAAGCAAGTTAACAAAAATGGGGGCTGATCAGATATTTGCTCTACGTGGATATTTACGTGTTACAATAAGACAATATTTTTATGTTCGACATCGAATTGATATTGCATATCCGCAATTACCACTTATTTGTGTTGCTGGAGGAAGAAGGCATCAATATTTTTACCCAATTGAATGTATAGATGTACTGGAAGCAGTTGAACAATCCGAAAATTTATGAAAATATATAAGTGATATGTTCTATTTTATATTATTGTTATTAAAAAATGTTTAATAAAATTATTTTTATTTTTGGGTATGTATACTGTGAATATCGAAGAATATGGAAAGTTCAGGAGGCGAAAGTTTCATTATTTCGACGAACGCCCAAACCGAGCACTTTCCAGCATGTTTTACATTTACCCCCTCAACCAAATTTTACAAATATAACTTGGACCCCGACTGGTCATGTATGGTTTATTTACGATGAGAAAGAGAAAGAATGGAAACAGGTATACAGACCAACATTTACAGTAGTTTACCACGAACCAGGTGTGTTTACTTCTGCTTGGTCCTTTGTAAAAGAGACATGCTCAGATATTGTTGTTGCTGTAAAATCATTTGTCATTGAATCGGCGAAACTTACATTTTACCTAGGTCGTAAGCTTATACCCATATAGAATATGAACTCTTATTAAAAAGTAATAAAATCAAAAAAAACAATAAATAAAAACCAAAAAATTAATATAGATATAAAATACAAAAAAATAATAAAATAAATATAAAATTCCAAAAAAAATACTAAAATAAAAAATAACAAAAAATACATAAAATTTATTTTTCTAAATTTTTTACCCTTCATTTATTTTAAATTGCCCTGTAGGTTTAGGTTTTACTATATTTTAATAAATATCGAGATTATTATGTAGTATGTAAAAATGTATAAATATATTTTTAACACATTTTCAAATACGATGTTTTAAGACATTTTTTAAAAAATGTCTTAAAAATCGTATTTATACTACTTACAAACACTAATTTAACCTTTAAAATTGCAATTTAAGAGTACTTATTAAAAATTTTATAGACTTGAAATTTATGAAAAAAACTTTTTTTGAAAAAAATTTTTATAAAAATTCTTTAAAAAAATTTTTATAAAAAATTATTTGACCGAAAATTTTCATAATTTTAAAATAAGCCCAATTTTTACTAAAATTTACCAAAAAATGCCGAAATGTGGACCAGAATATGCAAAATTTGCCAAGATATGCAACGATATTCAAAACATGCAAAATATTCAAAAACATGCATTAAGAACTGGGTCCTAAAATGCTCGGACCAATATAAAAACATCATCCACGATCTTCTTACTTAAGGCATATCCGCATACTAAGGATGCATTTGCAGCCCTAATAATGTTTGCAGCCCTATTTATAACACTCCTAATGTCGAAACTTGGGGATGGTCTTATTATTTTGTGTCTCTCATTTTTAATAAATTTCGCTAAATTTCGCATTCCGTTCTAAGTTTTTTAATTTAATTTATTGAATAACTATTATTTATGGTAAGAAACATTTATACAAATTTTCTTTGATTAAACTAGGGTTGTACCCCGAACAGACGTGGGCGAAACGTTTCGTTTCGTTTCGTTGTTTCGTATGTTTCGTGGGTTTTTTTGAGTATCGTTTCGTTTCGTCACGAAACACTTTTTAATTTGTTTCGTTTCGTTTCGTTACGAAACACCTGTGATTTTTCAACGAAACGAAACAATTTTTTAAGCCTAAACTAAGGCCAAAATCTATAAATTTTAACATTTTTTATTGAAAATTTGAAAAATTTTCGCCTGCGGCGCTGAAAAAAAAAGAATTTCGGCTTATTGGCCTTCCCAAATTGTCAAAATTTTCGCCTGCGGCGCTTTCGCCTGCGGCGCTTTGAATATTAAAATGTTTCGTTTTGTTTCGTTTCGTTTCGTAAGATTTTGGTTGTTTCGTTTCGTTTCGTTAACGAAACGATTTTTAAAAAATTTTGTTTCGTTTCGTTTCGTCAGAAAAAAATTTTGAGTTTCGCCCAGGTCTGACCCCGAACGCTCGGGGGCGGGTATGTCGGGGTACGGGGTTTTCCAATTGTTTCGGGGCGGGGTTCGGGTCGGGGGAGCAAAATATGGCCGGGGTTCGGGTCGGGGTACGGGGGTTTAGTGGAAAAATTTTTAGAGAAAAAAATGCTCAAAAATAATTAGAAATCGATATATTTTCGTTGATTTATTCAAAAATTAAGTAGGATTTGAAGAAATTAGAGGGGATTTGAAGGGATTAGAGTGTATAACTTGGGATATAAGTGGATCTAGAGGGATTAAGTGGGATTTTTAGGGATTAAATGGTATATCTAGGGATACAAGGTGATCTGGAGTGATTTTTGTTGGTTCAAGGGATATTTGTAATTTATAAGGATATTGATGTATTGCGGATAAGGGTATTTGGACGGATATCAGGAGATATCTTCGATTAATCCTTAAATTTCCCACGAAATCCTTGTTAATTTCGTTAAATTCACGTAATCCTTTCAAATCCGTTTTAATCTAAACCTTATATCCCTTCAAATCCATTTATAACTTCTTAATTCTTCGATATCCTACAAATCCCTTTATATCTCTGATTCCCGTTAACAGGACCTCGATAGTTTTCCAACTGTTATGGTTGAGAACTGGTAAAAAAAGGGAAAGATCAAGGTGGTTCAAGGGGGAAAGATTAAGGGTGGTTCAAGGGATATCAGTTAAAAATAAAATTAATATTTTCAAATTAAAATTTAACTCGTCAATAATTTGTTTTTGTAAAAAATATAAAAACAGAGTTTTCTTTATATGGATCCGAACCCAATCATATATTCAGAAAATATCGCTAAAACCAACGACTAAGCCACTCAACCACAAGTCTTATAATAAAAAAGGAAAGAAAATTATGATATTTCATTCATTTTTCTTTCAAAAATAATAAAAGCAAAGTAAAATGGGTGGAAATTTTTTAAATTTTCTTCATTAATTTCTCCAAAAAATGACATTTTTAGGGGTATAAAACCCCGATAACCCCGAAACTTTTTGGGCCGGGGAACGGGGTTTTCACTTTTTTTCGGGGCGGGGTTCGGGTCGGGGAGAATCGTGAAAAAATCGTTCGGGAACGGGGTCGGGGTTCGGGGTACGGGGTCGGGGTACAACTCTAGATTAAACTTATGCGGAAGTTGAAAAATTTTTAACAATTTCAGGTGGTCTTATTATTTTGTGCAACACTGTATTCTTTATCTCTATTTAACTGCAAAAATACTATTAAATAACTAATAATTTTACATCATTAAATATTTAAAATATAAATTAATATATAAATACCTATATAATTAATTTTAACCAATAAAGGCTTCTCGAAGGTATCAAACTATAATACATAATTAACAATATTTTTTGCAATTTATCCATTTTTAGTAAGTAAAAATTAAATTAAGTTACAATAAATGCAATTCAATTATATTAAAATTACTTATAGTTATATAACTAGTAATTATTATAATAAGAAAATAAAACAAAATTCGCCAAATTATATATAAGAATATAATTTTAATAAAATTTAAATTTTATTTTAAAAAATGTCTCAAATTAATCCAAATTTTTCAACAAATTGTATAGAAATTGAACAATTATTAACTGATAAAATATATTTAATTTTAATGCCTATGCAAATTATTTTGCTTGGTTTTATTTTGATATTAATTATTTATTTAATTATTTATTTTAAAAATAATAAATTTTATTTACATGGAAATTTAATGGTTAATTAAAATAATTAATGAATATTTTATTTAAATTTAGATATTATTTCCTAATATAATTGTTTTATATTTTATTCAAACAATTGTTTGGCTTTTTTGTTTAATTCGATATAAGGTTATAGATTAATAATTTAAATTAAATTATAATTAACAAAAGAAAAATAAGGGAGCATTTTTAAATAACAGTTGTTAATAAATTGGAAAGAAAATAATAAAATTTCTATCAAAAATCACTAATTAAATTTACTTTTTAATTTTTAAATTGTTTTAGATTCTTCTATACACATATCGAAATCCTTGTGATTTATTAACCCCAATTTGGCTTGTTTTAGCAATTTATGCCCCATATTTTATTAATACTATTGCATATCCATTTTTTCATTTTTGTATTATGATTGAACGTGCTAGAGCTACTTTATTAGCTGAAAAATATGAAAAAGAAGGGCGTTTATTAGGGATTTTTATGAGTTTCTCTGTTGTAAGTTTTTTGGAAGTTAAAAAATATTTATATTTTTCTAAATAAGATTCGATATGACGATAAGTATGCGGGATCTAGACCTAAACTAATATATAGGCCGCTGATAAAATAAAAACTAACGAAACTTAGTGACTTATTAGGTAAAGATTTGGAAAATTAAATAAAGATTCGTAGAAATAATCGGTCCTAAAATAGTCCCGTAACTAAGCCTAGTGTAAGTTGTAAGAGCCAACTTTATCAGAGAAGGACGGAAATATTTGTAGATTAGAATAGATTATCTTGAAACATTTTAATATATAAAAATCTAATTTAAGTGGTTAATATCCATTATTTATTATATCTACATTTCTCTGGCTGCCTTGGCAGATACAGAGGAATTTGGTCAACCTAAAGGTTTAATCTATATCACATCAAAATATAATGCTTTACCAATGTTTTGTATGACAATTTTTACATTAATATTAATGATTGTGACAACATTATGTGATTGGAGAATTATTATTTTAAACAGAAAAATAAAGAATTTAACGTAAAATAATTTTAAAAAATTTAAAAATAAATTTTTTCAGTAAAAATTCAGCAAAATACAGTTTAAGCCAAAATTTTCAATTAAACGAAAATACACTTTCTATGCGTTTGATTCTTCCTCTCGATTTATTTTATGCTTTATTTTATTCTTTTTACATTGTATTTGCTATTATTCTTCGAGCATATAAATCTTCAATGCCAATTACCCAATATATTTTATTTTATAATGTTGATGATACGGTTTTTAATAGAGTATAAATTAAATTTTATTTTATTTTTAGTTTTTAATTGTACATACTGCTGTTACATTAATTGTTTATATCAGCTTTGTTAATTATATCAAAAGATATAGACGTAGGCTTGCAAAAAATAGGTTGGCACAAGAAGAGGCTAAATTACATTTTAAACAATTACAAGAGATTTGGAAATAAATATGAAGAGAAATTTTTAGAATTTACATATTTTTCAACAATTTAATAAAAAATAATTTTTTTAAATTTTAAACAAAAATTTTAATTCATTATTTTGTTTCAAATTTTTAAATTAAAAATTAAATTGTAAATTATTCTTTTTTTTTATTTTCCAAACGAAACTCTGCTGGAAAATTATTTCTCCAATTAAATTTTAGAAAAAATTACAATTTTGTGTAAAAAATATTAAATTTGTTTTCTTCCTTTTTTGCATTGTTACTTTTGTTTCTTTTGTATTTTCTTACAAAACAAGTATATTTAAAATGTAAAAACTTTTTAACACAATTTCCAATCCAATCAGGGCTGATCGAAATAAAAATATTTTTTATTTCGAATCGAAACGAAATAAAAAAATTCCTATTTCGTTTCGGAGCGAAACGAAACGAAATGAGCTTGTTTCGGACGAAACGAAACGAAATAAACGAAATAAAATAAAAATTTAAAAATATTTATTTTTCAGTTCATAAAGGGTTTTAATCGATATTTAAATCATAAATATGCGCCCCAAGAGCTAAATGGTTGACAAAAGCATAGCAGAAACAAGAGTGGACCCTACAATCTGCCGATATCCACTTTAATCCCCTTAAATCGACATATATCCGCCTTAATCTCCGATATCCTATTAAAATCCCACGATATATCCAAATTTACTTTGGAGTATACCACTTTAGATATCGATCAAGAGGGATACTATGTGGGATAAAAGAGATATCTTCTATATTCCTTGAGATATCTTCTATTTCCCTTCTATATCTCACTCACAAAATCACTGATATCACTTAATCCATAAAATCTAAATATTCACGAAATCCCCAGATATCCCCTTAATCCCTCGCTATCCTCTTCCAATCTTAAATGCCCGATATCCACTTAGTCCCTCGATATCCTTTTCCAAAATCTTAAAAATCGAAGAAATCTGGCTCCATCGATGTCTCCTTAATCCTGTTTGGCCTCACAAAATTCTTAAAATTTTAGTCTCATGCACAGAAAATGGAAGAAAATTGGAGGCTTTATTGGAGGTAACATCTCAATACCAATATATCCCTCTTAATCCCCAAATTCCTTGATATCGCTTTTAATCACCCAATTCCGAATATATCTCTTTAATCTCTTCAAATTTGCCTCTCTCGATATCCCCCAAAATCCAATTATGCATCATACTTGTCTCTCTACAATTTACCAATTAATCCCTTTAAATTGACATATATCCGCCTAAATCCAATTTGGAGTACAACTCCAGTATATTTAAATCTGGGTTTCAAAAATTTTTAATATTCTTAGATCACAAATATAAAGATTTAGGGCTATGGTAGGTTGGACGGTGGAAGGCTGGTCTGCTCTAGCAAAACCCGTAAAGGCTTTCTTCCTTTTTAGCGCTGCAGGCGAAAATTTTTTGAATGTTGGAGCTCAAGAAGCCAAATTTCTTCCATTTTCAGCGCCGCAGGCGAAAATTTTTTAATTATAGGCTGCTCATAAGACAGAAATCGCTAAAAAATTGATGATTATTTCCATAAATTCCCGTCATTAGGGGTGCATTTTCTCACTTTTTATTTGTTTCGTTTCGTCCGGAATTTTGGCTATTTCGTTTCGAAACGAAACGAAATAAATTTTTTTCTGTTTCGTTCCGAAACGAAACGAAATGGAAAAAAGGGCACGAAAGAGCGAAACGAAACGAAACGAAACGAAATTTCGATCAGCCCTGAATCCAATTCATTTTGATAAATTTAATGCTCTTATTTTTAAAATAAATTTAGAGTGTGACCCAATAAAATATAAAAATAAGGTTAAAATCAATTTTCTTTTTTTGTATTTGGACAATATTTTAAGAAATAAAAAATTAAAAAATTATGTTCGATCCTATTGTTATAGAGAAAAAAAGAAAATTTTATGGCTTTTCTCTTTTTACTAAGAAAAAATAAATAAAACATTTCTCCCGCCATTTTTGTCAATTCAGAAAAAATTCATCAATTCTTTAAAGGTTTTAATTAAAAAATTTAAAAAATTAGAAAAAAAAAGAAAGTTTTACTAAAAATATTTAAAGATTAGTCACCAAATTTAACAAAAAAAAAATCAGAAAAAAATTCCAAGTTTGGGAAATTGCTTTTCTTTAATTACGTAAATGAAAGAGAAATCACTTCCTTTCAAAAATAATCAGAAATATATTTGCGATTTTTAATTAAATATTTGATTAAATAGGGAGTGGGCCAGTGTACCACGAGCCCAATGTACCGCAGAGCTATAACTTTCTTCAAAATTGTCGAATCCGTGGCGCCCTGGTATGGTTCGATTCAGCTGGTCAAGACGCGTTGAAACATACCAGGGCGCCACGGATTTGACAATTTTTAACAAAGTTATAGCTCGCGGTACATTGGGCTCGCTGTACATCGGGGTTACCATTTAAATAATATAATACAAGAAGAAAATTACCTAATTTTTAAATTCTTCTAATTTAACGAAATAATATATTTTATTGTTATTTTTAAATTAAAATTTAAAAAAATTTTTTTAATTATCTTTTTCTTTTAAGTTTAATATATAGTTTATGTGTATATATTAATTTATAATCAATCATTTAAATATATAAAAATAAAAATTAATCAAAAAATTTTATTTAAAAACTTTTTTGGCTGAAAATAAAAAATACGAGAATTAAACCGAATTAAATAAAATATATTATGTAAATTCATTTTTCAATAAAATACAAACAAACATTTTTTCAAACTTTTTTTATAAATAATAATTTTAAATAGTTATTATATATTAAATATTATTGTAACAAAAATAATGTTAAAAATAATTTTTATTATTTTATTAATTTTAATTGGAAAATCTGTATCTTGGAATTTTCTTGAAAGTCCTCTTCAATTATCTAAATCAAATGAGGTGGGGTTATTTTTTAATTATAAATCTCTTGACAAAGGATTTTTGTTTTAAGAAATTTTAATTAATTTCAAATATATATTACTTTTAAACCTTTATTATTGTGGCATTCCACTCTAGTTTTTATTGTTTTTTTTAATTAAAAAATACACAAAAAAAGTTGAGATAATAAATTTATAAGGGACGGACCTATTTTTAATCCTCTGTGAAACGTCTAGAAAAATGTTTCTTGGAAATTTGAAATTATTGGATATAGGTATGTAAATAGAAAGGGGGAATAAGAGTTAAGAGTTTTGTTTATTAAAATTTAATGAATATTACCTATTTTATAATTTTGAAAAAAGAAGTATTAATTATTTAAAAAACTTCTTTTAATTTAAAGAATGGAATTTATGAATTTGATTTTATTGTTGAACATTCACTTTCAATGACTTTAATGCTCAAAAATTTATCAACTCCTGTAATTGATTATTCTCCAGATAATGTAAATAAATAATTAAATTTTAGAGAAAAAAAATTATAATTATTTTCTAGTTACAATGGTATCAAAGAGATCCAGATAGAGGAACTCAATGTGGATTAAAATGGACATTTATCAATACAACTAACGGAATTGATGAAGAAAAGGAATTAAAAGATTTAATCCAATTAAATGGATTACATAGATTAATTAATACATTTAATGGAATTAGGTAAAAGTGAATTGAATTATTTAATTAAAAAATTTGAAAAAAAATTTAAAGTCCTGGACCAACAATAGTTGTCCCTCTTGGAGCAGAAGTTGTTATTCGTATAAAAAACAGAATGCATTCAAAATCTTTTACTGTTCATGTACATGGTGTTGATAAAATTAATCGTTGGTGGACAGATGGCGTTCCCTTTATACAACAATGTCCAATTTCTCCAAATACTGATTATTCTTATAGATTTATTGCTGATACTCCTGGCACACATTGGTATCATGGTAAAAAATATTTGAAAAATGAAAACAAAGTTAAAAAATTTTCAGGTCATTTAATGGAAGATAGCGGTGAAGGATTAGTAGGGGGTTTTGTTGTATTAAAACCTGATGAAAAAATGGAATTTGAATTGGATAATAAAGAAAAGTTGAAAATTGGAAGACAATATTTAACATTAATTCAGGCAGAAAAAAATAAATTTTTTATGAAAATCTAAGCAAATTAAAGGACCTATCAACAGCGGATCCTTCACAACTTTATTTAGATAGACTACATTGGAGACGCAAATGGATTGGACATTCATTAGATAATGAGAAAGAATTGCCAGATGGAACTGGTTGTGAAAGGGTTGAAAGAACATTTGATGGAACCCTTTCAAGAGAAATACCTGTTTCTGCAATAATTATTGGAAATAAAGGATGGCATAATCAAACAGATATTATTAATAGACCATCTAGATTACCTTTAACTACTTTTGGTATTGAAATAGGTAAATAACTATGAATACAAGGGGAGAATAAGATACAAATAATGCTAAAACAAATAAACTGAGAAACGGAAATAAACAAAAATACAAAAAAATTTTTAAAGAAAAACGTGGCAAAATATCGTGAAAAAAGCTATGCATTTAGAACTAACGAAAAATATAAAATAATGATTTCTTAAAAAGGAGTGATTAAAGGAAAAATGAGAAGGTACATATGTATTAGTGATAATTATTTTAAGGAGAGAATATTATGTTGCGATTGGTTAATGCTGGAATATCACAAGGTTAGTTAAAAATAATAAAATGGAATGAATTTAAAATATATTGAGGTGTATTTGTTTGGATTGAGGATCATGACTTTTGGATTGTTGCAGCTGATGGGTCTTACATAAAACCAATTAAAGTGACTGAAATTTTGTTTAATTAAAAATAAAAATTTTAGGTAGATTCTCTTTTAATGTTTTCTGGTGAAAGATATGATATAATAATTAAAGGATTAACAAATCCAAAAAGAAAAATATATAGAATAATATTTGAATTAATGGAACAAATGAAGGAAATGGAAGGTGGAATTTGGAAAAATCGAAAACCAACAGTTGGATTAGCTAATATTTTATATGAAAATTTTACAGAGGAAAAGGAAAATAATAATGATCAGGGTAAAATTTTAAAAAATGAGATTTAAAAGAAGAACTTGGTTTCTTGCAGACAATTTTTCCAGTCTGTAAAATTGTCTTCAAGGGATCATGCTTTTCCTTAAGTTCCCAAAAAATTAAAATAAAAAAATAATTTTTAGTTGATTGGACACATAATCATTGTACAGAAAATAAAAAATGTTTAGTTTTTAATTGCCCGTTTGAACAATTTCCATCATCATTTAATATGAGCTGTATCTATTCTGATAAATTACAAGGAGAAAAAACAACAAATAATGATGAACATTTACTAGAAATAAAAAATCAAACAAAAAATGTTTCAAATGAGGAAGTTAAAGAAGAAAAGGAAATAATAAATGAAGCTATTAAACTAGCTTTATTTTCGCCAAAAGATAATAAGAAACAGAAATTTAGGGTTGGAAATTTAAAAATTAGAGTTAATGTAAAATTAAGTTTAAAATAAATTTAAATTTTATTTTAAAAAATATTTCTTAGATTTTCTTCTGTTAGGAGATTTTTGTGAATTTGCACGATGGCTTGAATGGATGGCGATTTTTGGATCCAAAAGGCATTCCATATTTTCGAAAAATTGATAAAGTAGAAGAGAAGGAATGTGATGAGAAAAAATGTGATCGTTGGGCAAATGATGTACTTTATAATCAAAATTGTCAATGCTTTATTAATTATAAATTTAATCTTGGAGAAATAATTCAGGTAAAATTTTTAAAAAACCAGACATTCGTTAAGAAGGGATTTTCCTTCGGTTCATGAAACTTACATTCTAAATTTAAAATAAAAACTTAAAGGGGCCTCTTCTTTTTAACATTTTCACAGAAAGTCTTTTATTAAATAGATAATAGCAGTAAGTGCTGGTGGAATGCCACATCCTTTTCATTTGCATGGACATAAATTTGTTGTCCTTCGAATGGGGTTTGCTGAACAATTTACTGGAAATGGAACTTTAAAAGGATTAAATAAACATTTGGAATGTTTGGGAAAAGTAATTAAATTAGTAAATAATTAATTTATAAAATTTATTTTTAAAGTCTAATCGTTGTGCAGAAATGAAATGGGCTAATAAAAATTGGGAAGAAGGTGAAATTCCAGAAATAAATAAAGTAATAATTAATTAAAGTCAGAAAATAATTTTTATAAAATTTTTATTTAATAGAATCCAGTATTGAGAGATACTGTTGTTGTACCTGCTAAAGGCTTTGTTGTGATAAGGTAAATATTTTTTGATTTGAAAATATTTTCCTTAATTAAAGTCTCCCCCGGGAAACAGTAATGTCCGAACCTTCTTATCATTTATCCAGAAACCATAAATTCTCTCCTTCTCTATGGCTCTCCTTCTCTACCGTAACTTCGAGATGCGAATTAAAAAAAAATTTTTTTATTTGATTTATCTTTATGTCCTATAAAATATTTATCTCTCCCACATATCTAAAATACTAAAAAAAATTTTAAAGATTTTATGCAAATAATCCTGGCTGGTGGTTTGCCCATTGTCACCTTTTAATGCATTCCATGGATGGAATGAATTTTGCCTTCCGTGTGGGTAAAGATAAAGAAATACCATCCCCACCAAAAGGATTTCCTCATCATTGTGGGATTTATGAAGAAATGCCAATAGGTAAAGAAGGAAGTGATCATTTGGATGAGGATGAAATGAGTAAAGTAAGGTTATTTTAATTTTATAAAATATTTTAAAATTTCAGATGAGCTGCAATAATGGAATAGTTATTGGATTGGAAACATCAAAGATAATTATGTTATTTGTTGGATTTTTAGTTAACATTTATGTATATTTATAAAATAATTAAATTATATTAAATGTGATATGTCCTTGTTTAAAAAATTTCTATTATATATAAATTAAAATATATGAATGTCTTTTGTGATTTTATAACTCGCTAAATTTATGGGCTTAAACGCGTAATTGAACGTTTTAAATGGGAACGGTTAACATAGTTTTTTAATCATTTTTAAAACGCCAAGAAATGGCAAAAAACATTTTGCCAACATTTTCTAAAACCCCGCAAAATCAAAAATCCCGCAAGTAAGCGGATTTAGTCTACAAAATCTCCCATAAATAAGAAAAAGTTACGAGATTACTGGAGCGGGATCCCTCAGATCTTTTCCAGCACCAACCATTAGTTCCGATCGTGATTTCCCTTTATTTTCAACATGTCTATATATTGTTTAATTCTTATTTTATGTTTTAGAAAATAAAATGAAGGTAAAACCGAATAAAAAAAGGCCACTACCAACAATTCAAGATGATCATTCTGTTGAAAAATCAATTGAAAAGGAAGAAAAAAAGAAGAAGAAACACGATTTGTCCTCAATTTTGCAGAAGGCTCCACCTGTGTTTCCTTGGCTTTTCTCCAATGAAAATGTAAAAAATGCTGAAGAAAATATTAAAACTGAACCAGAAAAGACTGCTGAACCCAGGTTTTCTTAATAACTTCGAGGGTGACTGTTTGGTGATATTTCGTGTTAATATTTTTTTTTAATTTTTAGCGTTTCGGTTGTGCCCAAGAAACCAATTATTGGTGATAAATCTGAAGATACTAAACCGCCCCCTCCGCCTCCTCCACCTCTTCAAAAAAATAAACAATTTACAATCAAATTGCAGCAAAATTGGTCAAATTTAAATTCTCCTTCGAAGTAACATTTTTTTATTTTTACAATTATTAAAATTCCTAATTTTTAAGATCAGTACAAGATTCCTCAAAATCTTCCAAACCGGAAACCTTATTTCAACGTGCTTCTGATGCTTCACTTAAAAAGGCGATTGAAGTTTTTTTTAATTTTTTGGTTTAATTTTTTATTTAAAATTAGGAAAATGGCGATAGCTCCTTTAGTCCTTTATTTCATGATACTTCAAACTCAATTCTTAGTTTAATTGAGGGAAGCACACAAATGGGTTTGGTGACAGAAGCTCATCGAGAAGCTGCTGTTTCTGAATGGAGAGCTAAAACAGAAAATAAAAATAAAGAAAGGTTTTCTTTTTAATTTAAAAATATTTGAGAAATTATTTAAATTTATTTAGGTCTTTAACTAAAGAGAAATTTGAAGAAGATGAGGACCTTGATTATGACGATGAATTGATAGATGTAGATGAAGGATTGGCAAGACAGATTCTAGCTGATGTTGACAAAGAAGAATTAGAAGCCAGAGCAAGAGTAAATAATTTTTATTAATTTTGAATTATTTTTAAATTAGAAAAAAGCAAAGAAAGCTGCCAAAAGATTAAAGCGAGAAAAACTACGACAGAGTCAAAATAACCTAAACGAAACTAAACATAAAAAATCGCATAAAACTGCAAAGGAAGCAAAATCAAAAAGTCATAAAAAGAAGAAATCTAAAAGTGAAAGGTTTTTTTAAATTTTTTTTATTAAAATAATTATTTTAGTTCTAAAACTACGAGTCATTCTAAACGTACAAAAAAGCATGACGATACAGGTACTGATCGGAAAAAATCTAGAAAGTCATCACGTTCTTCTTCAAGATCAAGGTATTTTTTTATTTTTGATTGATTTGTTACACTTTAAATTTTTGTAAAGTAACGGCTAAAGTTCACTATACTAGCGTTTTTTGGATTTGGAGAATTTATATATTAATCGAAAGAGCTGCGCGAGTTGAGTCTTAGGACACAAAAATTAGTCTGCGGAAACAACTTTGGGCCAATATCTTATATCTCGGTCAAATGTTGTTACATCAGCTCATCGAGCTCTTTCGAATGACACATTTTGTTTATTTAAAAAAAACGTTGGTAAATTGATCAACTTTTTTGAATTAGGACTTTTTTACAAATTTCATACATTTCTTGTTTTCAATCATTTTCTTCCGTACCGTTTTTACATCGATTAATATAATTTCTGGTACTTTCTCAGAGTTTTCCTTAAACGTAGAAAATGGTCAGAGATTATTTTCTTCTCAATGTCAATCATTTTTTTCTTCTTCAAGTATTTTGCTTGTTTATTTTGCCTTTTCACATATTTTGTACTTACATTTCATGCATTTTGTTTATACATTTACCACATTTGCTTGAAGAAAGAAAAATGATTGACATGGAGAAGAAAATAATCTCTGACCATTTTCTACGTTTAAGGAAATCTCTGAGACTCAAAATAGGAGGGGGGGTGACATATCCATAAAGTACCTAATTTCTTAAATAAGTATTGCTTTCCTCTTATTCGTAAAATTCATTTTTTAGTTCTCGTCATCATCAAAAAACGTCAGTTTACAGAAAATCACGCCGGTTTGATTATTTTGAAGTTTTTATGTTAAGGGCTAATTTAGGTCTCGATCAAGTTCTCGCACTTATAGCAGTCCAAGTTCTTATAGACGAAGCCGTAGTCGTTCCTTCACTCCTCTACCACGGTTTGATCGTCACAAAGCGTTCGAAACTCGTAAACGATTAATTGAAGAATCATGGCATCGAAGAATTCAACATTCTGTTAGAGCTTGTGAAAGGTTTTTATTTTAAATTTATAAAAATTAAATTGTATTAAAGGGATATTTCACCCATACGAGAGCACAGATCATCACGGAGGAGTTCTTTCAGTAAAGCCGATTATACTGATAAACATGGCCATATTGATAAACAAAAATTACTTGAAATTGCGACTAAAAATGCTACAAGACTAGCTATGGTAAAATATTTAAAATTTAATTAAATGAATGCTTTTAAAGGAAGGTAAATTGCCAAAAGGTGCAGAACTAGTTAAGTCTATGACTAACAAATCTGTCAATCAACTTATCGGTAAAACTTTAAATTATTTTTATTTTTAACTTTTATTCTTTTTAGCTATTTGCAAGCAACTTCAGAATGAGGAAAATTTACTTCCAAGAGGTAGAAGTTCTAGCGAAGATGAAGACAGGCGGTATATGAAACGTTATGATGAATATCGTGAACGAAGGGATAGATCCAAAGATAGGGAATTTTCTAATAGAGCAGTTCGTCCTGCACCTGACAGACGGAAAGTTGAGGCGCAAGAAAGAAAGGAAGCGGTCAAAAGAGAAGAAAACAAACTTCGCTTGACTTTCCCAGTTTCAAGTGGCGTTAAGCATCGTGTAGCAACAAATGTAAAAATTTACTTTATTTGTATACTTTTTAATTTTTTTAGGTTCCAACAAATGAAGGAACTGCTGGGCCTTTAGTTCGATATGGTGAGATTGGGCCATTAACAACTGCTTTAGCTAAAGTTCGAACAAATATACCATCGGCTTATGTATTTCATTTATTTTTAATTTTCTTATTAGACTTTTTAGTTGGCTATTCAAGAAGCAAGTACAAGTCTGAATACTCAACTCCCTCCTGAAAATGTCCAAAAAATTGAAGAAAAACCTTTTGCTGCTTCATTTGTGAACCATGTTTATTTTATTATTTTTTTAAAATTATTATTTTATAATTTAAGCCTCCACCGCCTGATATTGTTAGTCCAAGTGCTTATAAAATTGCTTTAGAAGCGGCAGAGAGGCTGAAAAGGGATAAGACAAAAGAACCGGTAAATTAAGTTCTAAGGGCGTATCCCCTCTCCAAAATAGGGAAAATTGTGAAATAAATTTGGCGTACCGCCACTTCAGCCCTTCTCAACATTTTCTCCTTATACACCTTTGCTAATGGTTTGAGATTTTTTATAATCATTATTTATAGATTTTGGCTACTTCTTCAGAATTTATTGGGCCTGTTATTCCTTTTGAACAAAAACCTGCTATTCCTTTAGTCGATCCAATTAATTTAAAAACTGAATTAAAACCTGAAATTGTCGATGTTCCTGCTGTATCTTCTTGGGACAAACCTGGACATTTGAGTTTGTATTTGTTTAAATTTTTTTCATTAAAAATTATTTTAGTTGCTCGAGAAGCGTTTTTGAAGAAAATTGGTACTTTACAAGAAAACCCTACAGAAAATGCCAAGTCTCAAATTGATACAACAAATAATCAATTAAGCCAAAATATTAACGAACCGCAACCATGTATGTCTGATGTTGAATCTGTTATTAATTCTTGTGTTACGAGTATTGCTAATGAACAACAAGAAGGTATTGAGCCTAAAGGTAGTGATTTTAATTTATTTTACTTTTATCTAGCAATAAGACCTTTAATTATTTTTTTAAATTGATAGTAGATGCGACGACAAGTTCTAAAACTAATTTGACGTCTTCGGCCTCCAATGAAAAATTTGTTGCACCTAACGTAATTATTCTTTGTTTTTATTTCTCATAAATATTCCCCTATTGTCAGACTGCCAAACCTTTAACAAAGACTGCTAATTTATCCATTCCATCAAAAATTCAAGTCAACTTACCTTCAACTTCAAAAATTACTAAAGAGGAGGTTGCTGATATTAAGGAAGATAATCCCTCTCAAGCAGAATTAATGGATAGAGTCCAGGCTTATGTTGAATCACAGGTTTTTATCTTTTAAACATTTTTTCTTTTAAGATAAAATTTTGAAGGTTGCACGTCAAAAAGCTGAATCTGTTCTTCATGCAACTATATTATCAGCTCAACTTTCCCAAGCTACATTTCTCAAAAGTGAGACGCCTGCTTATTTTTCCACTGTTTCGCAATCTAAGGATCCGATTGGTGCGACAAAAGTAAATTTTTATTTTTACATTAACTTTGTTTAATTATTTTTGTCTGGGTAGGTAGCAAAAAGTGTGTCTGAACTCATCTCTGAACGTTTGCGCTATACTCAAAGATTGCAAAGAGATCCAAACGATTATGATGCAAGAAGGAAACTGAAGGATGTAGATGATCAGGTTTGTTTTTAAAAAAATTCTATGAATATTTTTAGATGTCTAAATGGGCTGAGGATGGTTTCGCTTTACCTGGTGAATTTACTGGTCATACTGGAGCTCGTGTTCTTTCAGAGAAGGAGTTGGAACCGAGCGACCCTCGTTTCCATGCATGGGCTAAAAAAGTAGGTTTAATAAATTATTTCTGTCAACATTACTACACCCCATTCTACCGACTTAAACAATTCATTATTTCCATGTAAAAGGCTCATAATCTCGCAACAATCTCTTATGATTATCGGCATTTGTTTATCAAATATTCAAGTGATTAGAAATAGTTTTTTGAGTAATTAGCTGAATTCGAGTAATTAACAACAAGCTCTTAATATAGTCGGGTGATTTTATTTGCGAGATTATGAGATGTTACCTATCAATATTTTTAGATTTATTGGCTATTTAAATTATTGATACAACTTTGCTGTTGGAAAAACTGGCCTCTTTTTCCTTTAAAATTTTATACTATTGATTTTCTTGAACATTAAATATCTTCTTACCACTTTTAGACTTTAGGTCTATCGTTAAATAATTTTCTGTATAAACAGTTTAAAATTTTAAAAGGAAAGAGAGGCCTACCTCAAATTGTTCTGCATCAAATAAAAAATAAATGGGATACTTTTGCTATTTTGAATGATTTTTAATATCAAAATTTACTCTCGATTTAACACATTAAGTAATTATTTTTTGATATTAAAAGTCTTCCTTATTGCAAATGTATCCTTATCAAAGCAAATGATGTGACGAATAAGTATAAAATCATGGAAATAATAGACAGGAGAAAAAAATTAATTTTAGATTTAATTTATTTAAATGTCTCTATAACTTTTTTACTTTTTCCTGTCTTTTATCCATGATTTTATAAACTAAAAATTTGTGATAAAGAGTATGAATGTTGTCACCGGCTTTGTCATCCGTGCAAATTATACATATTTTAGGTCTTAAAAGTTTATTACAGGTGAGTACTTAAGAATCATTTCTCTATTTTGTTCCTGTTAATTTAGGATTTATCTTAAATATAATTTTTTAAGGCAGTTTGAATTGTTTTTCATTTTTTAGATTATGCCAAGAAATTTTATTCTATTTATTTTTCTAAATTTACTTATTTTTATAAATTAAATTATATTTAGGATCAATTCAAAAATGCTCCAGAATTAATTGGAGGGATTGGAATGCGTTTGATGGAGAAAATGGGATGGAAACCTGGACAAGGTTTAGGTAGAAATGCTGCCGGTCCAATCGAGCCTCTATATTTGGATGTTAAGGCTGACAAAAAGGGCGAGTTTTTACTTATATATTAAATGAGAAAATGATTGAATACCTAACTTAATTATTTAAAGGTTTCTTTTCTGAGTATCTTGAACGAATTCCTAAACGTGAAAGTGTTCTTGATCCAACCGGTTAGTTTTGAATTTTCTTTCTACCTTTTTCCATAATATTCAGGCAAAAATCCAGTTTCGGTTCTAATGGAAGTTTGTAGTCGCAATCGATGGATGAACCCAGAATTTGTTTGTGATGAGATGGGTCCACATAACAATAGACGTTATCTTTGGAAAGTATGTTTAAGTTGAACGAATCAAAGATAATTTATTATAAATTTAAAGGCTGTATTGAATGGTGTAGAATATTCACCATCACTTCCTTCTAGCAATAAAAAGGCCGGGAAAGCACAAGTTTGCATGGTCGTCTTGGAAGCTTTAGGGTTTGGATATTTAAAAATTTGGTTTTTTAAATGTTTCATTTTAGATTTTGTAGTTAACATTCTTATTTGAAATTGCTAATGAAGATTAATTAATGAATTATAATGTAGATATACAATTTTAACATCTATTATTTGTTTTTCTTTGGATTGTTTTATATTTCTATTGTGAAAAATATTTTTGTTTTGATTTTAATTAATTTTCTACATTTGAAAAATTTGTATAGAATGTTTGGTAATATTTAATTTCTTGAGTAAATGAATTAGAAATCTATGCCTTATCAATCATTTTGATTTGTTTTGGAATATTTTACACAATTAGTTATTTTATTTGTTAGTGCATGTATTCCTAAAATGTTTAATTCTATCTTCTGAAGTAAATTAAAATGAAATTTGTACTTTCAATTTTCTTGAAAGTTTTAAGGCAGACTTTTTATTTGAGTAGCATTTCCAAAAGTTTAAGATAAATTTTAAGTCTGCCAATTTTTAATTCCACGTTTCTAAAAACTTTTTTTTTAATTTTATTTCTATATTTCTGATTCACATGGACCGGCTGTACAAACAAATCAAATAAATATTGGCAAGAACAAAGGCATGCGAGGGTCATAAGCTTCACTTGCTTAATCTAACGCTTCTCTTTATTATCCCCGCATATCATACCAGCATTTATATACCTGATATAATCCTCCACATATACAATCTATATTTAAATAAAAATTAAATTGATTTAGAATCAATACTAATAAAATATCAAAACTTAGTCGGGATCAGAATATCCATTCTTTAAGTTTTATAAATTGCAATTTAATTTACATATTATTTCTCGTTTAGAAAATGCAGGGGATAAACTTTAAAATTTTATTTCTTTTAAATGCTCTCCTTTTGTTTTCTATTATCTCTCACGTTTATGGTTAGTTTTTTATATAAGGGAAATATGTACATATATTAGAACTAATTAGGAATAGCTGAAGGTGTCGGAAATCAGAAGGCTTTATCAGAATTCTAGCCCACCTCCTTTGCTACATATATCCTATAAGTCCGAATATATTATATAAGGTCGATTTGATAAATCAATGAAAACTAGATAAATTAAATAGATGTTTAATAATAATAGTTACCGTAAATGCTGAAATAATGTCCCTCTCTCAAATAATTACCCCCGCCCTATTAATTACCCCCTACAGTCAGAGATCGAAAAAATAATTACCCCTCTCAAAAATAGTTATAATTAGCCTGTCTGAAAAAAGCTCAAATAATTACCCCCTCCCTTTTAATTACCCCCTCCAAAGTGAAGTTGAAACAATAATTACCCTGGGTAATTATTTTAGCAAATACGGTATTTGGTAATTCTCATATATCCAATATGGTGTTATTACTTTCAATTATAGTTAATTTTGTTGAAGTTAAAAATTTGTAGGGCAAGGAGATGAAGGTGGAGATGATCAGCAAACAGATGCAGAGGCTGAAGAAACTGATGGAGAAAAAGATGGTGAAGATAAAAAAGATGACGAAAAAGAAGACGATAATGCGGAAGATGATGAAAAAAAGAAGCCAAAGAAGGGTGGGAAAAAGAAAGGAAAAAAGGAATCGAAAAAGAAAAAGGATGAAGATGATGATGAAGACGAAGATGAAGAGGGAAGAAATAAAAAGAAGCAAAAGAAATTGACTTCTGCAGAGATTAGAGATTTAGTGCCTATATTCGGTAAGTACTGTTACCATAAATAATCAGTAAATTTTTGTAGGTGTTTTTGTTTAGAATTCCACAAAAATTATTACTTATATAATTAATATTTAATATAAATAATAATTATATCTGTCCCTCAAGTTTTCGATAATTCTATATACTATTTCAGCATATTTAATTGGGAGAGGTTGGGGGTAGATACAATTAATTATTCTTTTTTACAGACAAAAAATGTGGGGACATTAATACCGTGCAATGTCTTTCTTTTCAGGCACTTTGTAAAATTTCTGCAAGTTTTAAATTTAAATTAATTATTAAAACTACCTTTATTGTTTATATTGAGAGAAAATACGGAGGGTTTTTTTGATATTAAGTATTGGACTTTAGAATTAAAAAAATATAAATGTAAAATTATATATAGGATTAGGTATTTAAAGTGTCAAGAAAATATACTTTACAATGTCTTTTATTTTTTAAATATTAAGTAATGTTCTATTTAAGGCATACTATCCTTTGATGGCGTTAAGTTGTAATGAATCATGTACTTATTGTACAAAAACATCAGATTGTGTAGACGCTAGACCCAATGAGTGAGTTTTATTTATAATGAGAGAATTCGAGTATTTTTTTCAGTATTTCCGTCAGATCCTTACTTTTAATGTGAAATAATTCATATTTTTAAGTTGCCAACTTTGGGGAAAAGAAATTTGTTCGACTAGTCCACTTTTGGCATTTTTGCATTGTCGTAACTTTTGCAATGCATGTCCTAAAAATAAAAAGAAAGGTGATGATGAAGATAATGATGGTGAAGAAATAAAAGGTGGAGGGAAAAAAGCTAAAAAGACAAAAGACAAAGCAAAAAAAGATAAAAAGAAACCTAAAAAAGAAAAGGAAGATGGTGATGATGACGAAGGAAAGGAAGATGGGAAAGATGATAAAGAAGAAGAGAAGGAAGGAGGAGATGAAAATAAAGATGAGGAAGGAGGAGAAGAAAATAAAGAAGATGGAGGAGGGGAATAAAATAATGCTAATATTAAAATGTTATAAAAAATATGTAATTATAAGCAGGGCTCTTATCAAGAATTTTTAAAAATCCACAATTTTGATCTAAAAAATCCGCATTTTATATCAAAAATCCGAAAAAAATTATCAAACACAAAAATTGAACTAAAATAGCTGTTCGCGTTATATTTTTGACTCCAACAATTGAAAAATTTTTATTCTCAATCTCTTATATTTTTCTCTCAAATGATTCTTTTTCAGCGCCACAGGCGAAAATTTTGAGGATTTTCGAAGGCCTTAAGAGAAAAAGATGCCATTTTATTCTAAAAACAACAAAAAAATATAAAAAAATCCTCAAAAGCATTTTTAAACGCATTTTAAAAATAATCCTCATCGACCTATCAAAAAACCACAAAATGTGGAAAATCCGTACATATAAGAGCCCTGAATTATGAGTACCTAATTTAAAATTATATATAAAATTTATCAAAAGTCTCCTACATTGTAACACCCCTAATTTCGACCTCGTACCAATACCTCGCACTTACTCATACCTAAGAAAAAAGCAAAAAAATCTAAAAATTTTTATGATTTTCTAAGCTTAAAGCATCAGAATTTCAAATTTTTAGCGCCGCAGGTATTTCTTTTAACATTTCCAATATCCTAAGGTACATATGTAAATTACCATAAATTAAATTCCTTGGATTTTTCACAAGGTCATGAAGAACTGTTCCACTTTCTTAGCGTCGCAGTCGAAATTTTTGAAAATCTAAAGTGCCTAAGACACGAAATTTTATATTTTTAGCTCAGGCAAAATTTTGAAAATTTTTGAGAGACAAAAAAACCATAATTCCTTCCTTTAAGAAAATGACAGAATCTGACCAGATACATACCTAAATATTCCTATAAAAGCCCTTCGTTTATTTTTTCAATGGGTATCGTTGAGTGGACTTCAAAATATTGGGATATTTATGTTATTTAAAAGGTTTAAAAATATATAGAATTATAAATAATATTTAAATATCATCTTCCTCTTTATTAAATTCTTGGTCATTAAAAGTTTGTATTTTTGTTTGACAAACAGGACAATAACCATTTTGGAGAATTGCAATTTGATAATCATCAGAATTAAAAAACTTTAAAAAATTTAATTTAAATTAATTTTATTTTTTATTTTTACTTTTTGACAAAACTGGCATTTAATAATTTTAACTTCATCAATAACTTTAAGAAAAAATTTAATTCTTTTTGATTTTAAAATCTAAATAAATAAATTATTAAATATAATAATTATTTAAAATTTACATTTTGATTAAAAACATTATTTTTATTTAAATTTAGTAATTCTGAACGTGAAAGTTTTAATTGTTGTTTTTTCTAAAAAAATAAATAATTTTAAAGAAAATAATACTTTTAATTTTTTACTTTATTATTTATTATTTCATTGGTAATAAAATTATTGTTTTGATTATCTGGTGGTTCGGCATTAATTAATTCAATCTTTAAATTATTTAAATATACATGTTTGTGTAAATAGAATTATTATTTTTTAAGAAAATTTATCCAAAATTATTTTTAAAGAATTTCATTTTTTGAAAGAAAAAATTATTTTTCGTTTTGTTCAGAAAAAAATATAGAACTCGGTTTTTAAAATTTTAATAATTTTTACGAAAGGAATTTTAGATTCTTTTCAAGTTTTTTAAATTTTATTTGGTAAAAGTTTTCTTTCTTAATCAAAGGTCCTCTTAATTAGAGACCGGATTGAGAATTCTCGATTATCGAAATTTCTCTTACAACCCTCCCAGTCCGTTCCTATTTTTATCATTTAAAATTTACCGCTTCTTTATCAGAAATATCATCATCTATTTGAAATTGAATTAAGGGCAAAACTTCTTTAAAAAAATAATTTTAAAATTTATTTATGAATTAAAAACAACCAAAAGTAATAAAAGAATAAATAAAATAATGGTTGCAATGTACACATTCATGTCCACCCAAAATTGGATTTGCTGTTCCACAGCTTTACAAATTTTTAAAAATAATATTTATTTTTTAAAAATTACTTATAACACATTGGTTGAAATTCTTCAGAATCAGAAAAAGGCATAGCTCTAATTTCGAGAGTAGCTACATCAATTTGTGATTGATATTGGGGAGGACAACGCAATTTATGTAGATGATTTAATGCTTGTCTGGCTGTTTTATAACACCCAAAATGTCTACTTAATTTCATTAAAGTATAATAAACAGTAACTCGAGAAACATATTCTGTTGGTTTATGTAAGGAAATGAATCGTGCTGCGTGAAAAAGAATATCTAAGGATTTTTCTGTGAATGGTTCTACCTTAAATTAATTTAGAAAAAGATTTTAATTTCAAATTTATTAAATTATTAAAGTGATTTCTGTGTTAAATTTTCCAAAAATTTCTTGGTTAGCCTTAATTTTTGTTAATTTAATTAATAACCAATTTAGGTAAATATTACTTGTCGGTTTTTGTCTTCTGATATCAGGAACCGAACAGAAAAATCTCGGTCCTTCGGTTCCGAACCGACAAACCTTTCCGGTAATTAAAATTTTTAAGCTAATTATGTATTATTATTTAATTTCTTCAAATATATATTTTCTAAATAGGTATATTAGATTTTTTCTAATAGAATAACATCCTATTTTTAAAACACCCTTTCCCCTAATTTGCCATTCTTTTAGAAAAATGCGTTTATTTAAACTTACAACATATTTATAAACAGGCTCATAAGCAAAATAAATATCTGCTAAATTGAGACAATTTTCTAAACTTTCTAATAATGAATGGCCATTATTATTATTTCCATTTATTCCCCCCTCCTTTTCTATTAATTGTTCAGCCATTCTTCGATAATAAAACGAAGCAGCTTTTTTTAAATAAAAATATTTTTATTTTCTCTTTTTTATTACCTTTAAAACGATTTTCTTTAACAGCATTTTTAGTTAATTGTTCTAATACAAGAGAAGCTTCTTTTTCATGTCCAGCTTTGTTATAAGCTTTAGAAAATAAATTTCCGAATAAATTTTAAAAAGAATTTTTAAACCAATTTGTGCTTCATCAAAACGATCACGTTCAGCTAACCAACGTGCATAGGGCAAATAAACATCATTACTTAGAGAAGAATTTCTATTAATTAATGCTAATGCCTTTAAAAATTTAATTAATTTTTAATTAATCATTTCTTTACATCATCCCAATTTTCAGCATTTACATGCATTTGTATAATTGAACGTAAATCGTTAATTCTTTGGAAAATAGAAGTTGCTTGAATATATTCTCCATTTTTTGCCATAAATTGGCCAATTTCTCTAAGAAGATTTGCATCTGATTTGTCGAGTTTTCTTGCAGCATTTGCTACTCTTTTTTTATTAAAAATAACTTTTATTTAAAATTAATTGAGAAAAAAACTTTTCAACCCAATTATTTGCCATCATTAAACGAATTGCTCTATCATAATCACCCGATGACATTAATAATTCTGGAACTGACGCTAACTTTAAAGAAAAAGAATAAAAATAAATTTTTAGTTTAAAATTAATGAGATTATAGGCAACCCTTGTTTTTATTATTTACGGATTAAATTAAGAATAAACTCTGTTTAAACAAAGAGATCTTGTATTGACTAAGAGAAAGGAAAACAATTTATCTCTAGTCAAATATCCGGAATTTGTATAAAATGTTGATTTTTTACAATTTTATAGATAATTTCCAATAATAAATTTACATGGTGCGGTAAATTCGTGCAACTTTTTGTTTTTAATATAACTTTCTTCATTCTTATCGAAAATTGCTAATTATTTTTTTATTTTACACCTAACACTTAAGAAAACTTTAAGATACTAAAATCAAATCGCTTTTGAATTTATAATAGGAAGACAATTCATGTAAATATATCCCAATTGAAAATACAAACCATTCTCTGATCATTTGAAGTCTGTGCCCAATCTGCCTTTTTTCGTAAAAGAAGTTTTTGTGTTTCGGCACTCGAATTTGACAGAAATTCCTTAAAAATATTTTTTAAATTAATTTTATTCCAATCTACTTGTGCTTGTTCAAACATTCTCAAATCAGCAAACATTTCGAGAGCAACATTTTCTGCCCCCATTTGTTGTAATAATTGTACACAATCTCGAAATCTTTTATTATGGGCGTATAAATGAGCTTTTAATTCATTTATTGAGGAACCTCGATTTTTCATTTCCTTTTAAATATTTATTTTTTAAATTTATTTTTACTTTAGAAACTAACAATTAATTCATTAACTAAAAGTAAAGATCTACAACCACGAATTCTAAAAAAAGATTTTCTGGCAACATCAAATTCCATATTTTCTAGAGCCTCTGATCCAAGCATCTTTTTATAAAAATAAATTTATATGTATTATGTCAAAGTTTTTAAACCTTCCAATCACGTTCAGTAACTCCAAGTGATGCTAATTCATATGCTTCTCTTTAATTAATTTTACTATTATTTTAAAAATGTTTTTTTATTGGGCCCTCTAATAAAAATATTTTACTAAAACATTTTAATAAATATGCAGACCTAAAAGCTTATCAAAATAAATAGAACACCCAAATATTTTTTTAAAATTAAATTCTCTTACTTGAACATCTTATTATCCAAAAATTGTAATAATTGGCTAGTTAAAGGTATTTCTAAACTTTGCTTAAAATAAATATTTTTTTAAAAAACATTTATATCCAATTACCATTGAATACATATGGAGAATATAAACACATTTACCCATAAACCCAACAACAAAACCTTGTTGGGAAGGTTCTAATCTTTGTTGATATGGAGTAAACCAGTGAGATTTTATATTTAAAACCCCTTGACCAGAATAACAAACCAAATCCTCATTTGCAGAATTAAAAGCAACACTGGCCATATTTGGCTCCTAAAAGAAATTTCTTTTTTTTTCTAATAATAATTAATTACTTGATTAATTATTTCTTTCTTTTCTGTATCATAAATAACACAAATTCCTTCTTCATCAACAGTAGCTAATTTTCTTTTACTTAAACTAATATCCACACAACGTATCCTTAAAAATAAAAACCACATAAAATTGTCTCTGTCCGAGTTTGTAATTTAAATACAAAATAACATTACATAGATTTAAGTCGAACAACTTCAACAGGAAATGGATTGTCCACAAATATTTTGCAAACTAATCCAAAGCGCATACCCACAAGAATAGTTTCTCTTCCTATAGGGCCTCCAACTACTTTAATATATCTACAATTATTTCTTTCAAAAAATTATTTAAAAATAAATAACCTAATTAAAGACTCCATAATCCACTCTCTTTGTTTAATACCTTTTAAATCATAACAAGTCAATCTCCTATCATGACATAAAATTAAATGTTGGCTAGTTATAACCAAAAGGGAACATTCAAAATTTTGATTAATTTTATCCATCAATTTATATTCCAAACTTTCTCCTTCTTTGTCTCCAGTTAATTGACGATAAATTAAAACTCGATCACTTAATTGAATTGCCAATCTATTATTGTAAGTGGCTACTTTTCTGACTAGATCGTTACAACGAATTCTTGTACTTTTTTGTTTTTGTAATTGTTGTATAACAACATCTGTTTGATTTTCTCGAAATGCATAACGATCTAAAAAATACTCATAATTTTTAAGATAGATTATAAAAATGTGAAAAATATTTTTTGAATTTAATGAAAGGAAACGTTGAAGTAAATACTAGACAGGATCCCAAACAGGATTTACCGGGATCCTGTCCCGAAATACCGTATTTTAAGCAACGAACGGGATTATCCGATTTACGAGATTAATTTACGAGATTAACTTGTCCGTAAAAAATTTTGAAAAGAATCTCGTTAGGGGATCACTCTAGTAAGTACCGACATATTTTAAATTTTCAATTGAAAATTCAATTGAATAATAATCAAAATTATTCAAAAAATAGTTTTCAAAAACTTCTTCATAAAATTTAATTAAAAACCACCTTTATGTAAAGCATGTATAGTATTTAACATTAACTGATAACAAGCTAAAGAACCATCCACACAACCAACAACAACACAACGTTGTTTTAGCACAGCCATACTCCACGGCCAAGCATCCAATTGTGCCATTGCCCCCAAATCCCCAGCTTTTTGAAATAAATAAATTTTGATAATTAAATAAATTCACCATTAACTGTTTGCAAATTTAATTTTTTATTGCTTCCAGTACAAAGAAAAAAACAGCCGTTATTAAATAAATGAACTCCAGTTGGATCATAATCTAATTGTTTATCACTTTTGTGCGTCTATTGAAATATTTAGAGAAAAGTATTAAAAAAGTATCAGAGTTGTGCTTTTTGGTCTTTCGCTTTTTAAATCCGGTTAGGAATACCTCTGATGTGTATTAATTTAAGCCCTTATAATGAGTGATCTTTAATCTGATCATTTTATTAACTAATTCGTTTTTCTATATTTTTTAAATGCGAGAATAATTATATCAATATAAAATTGTTTAGATCTACTTAAATTAAAACACAATTCTTTAAATTACCAAATCTTTAATATTCTAAGAAAATAAATTTACCAATCTCCCCTGTTCATGTGTAAAAAACCCAATAGATTGTGCCCAATCAGCTATAACCAACAATTCACTACTTACATGTTCACTCAAAAATTATTAAAATAATTTAAAAATTCTAAATTAATTACTTAGTTATTATTTGTGCAAATTGTAATGACCAAATAGGTTCTCTACCTGGTCTTTCAACTCTTGCTGTTTCCTCTCCTGTTGACTTAAAATAATAATTATTTATTTTTTTTCTAATTAAAAAAATATTTGCCGTAGGTCCAGATAATGAACGAACAGTTATAGAACCATCATAAAAACCTATAGCATAAAAGAGACCGTCTGAGCTCCAAGCACAACTTGTACATTTTGAATGGACTTTTTGCTTACTTTAAGATAGGAAATGAATAAATATTTTAGAGAAATTTATCTGAATAATTTTTTTGTTTTCATTATTTTATCATTTTAAAGAGTTAGTCTTTGTGAAATGATTGATATCAGAATTGTGCTACTTAATTGTGGCTGAGATAATAAGTGTGATAATTAAAAATAAAAACATTGGAATTGTTATTGTGAGAGTCAGATAATAAAATAGTAAAGCATATAGGTATGTAGGTAGCTATTTAATTCTTAAGGCTGTGCAGTAAGTGGTGTGATGTAATGGATAACACAGCAGTCCAGTCTACTGAAGATGCTGGTTCGCACCCAGCCGCCGATTAACCTTTTGCACTAGCTAAAGGAGAGAAATAGCTATCGCCCTGCTCTGCTTTACTAGATTTAATAATTTAGAAAAGTTATGACAATTTATTTAGAAAATATAATTAATATTTCCAAATATTTTTAACGAGAATATACATAATTTACCTAACATTTTTATCAGTTTGTGTCCATATACCTTTAAAAATAACATTTACTATAAAATAAAATAAAAGTAACCAAAATCAGTAACTGCACAGCTAATAAGAGTTGTTGAAGTTGGAGAAAAAGCTAAACATTGAACGGCATCATTATGACTTTAAATAGATAAATATTTAAAAATAAATATTAGAAACGTGTATTTAAGTAATCCTTCATGTTGTTCACTCCATAAAATAACTGTACGGTCTTGTGAACCTGAAGCATATCTTTAAATAATTTTTAAAATTATATCTTTATTAAAAATATTTAAAATTACTTTTCACCATTAAAAGAAAAACTAACGGCATAAACTAATTCTTTATGTCCTAAAATTGAAAAATTAAAATATATTTTTAAGAATTTGTGAATTTTGATAATTTTTTTAAAAAATAAAGAAAATTAGCGTGTTTGTGTATTGGCCAGATTTGAGATAGATCAGAAAAAATTTTAAAATTTTAATCCAAGAATCAAAAATCTAACCAAAATTTCAGTTCATATTTTTCTAAATAGCTTAGGTATTTCCGTTTTTTTCAGATTTTCTAATGTGGTTTGTTCAAGTAAATTTGAAAATTAAAAAATAATATTTTAACTTTTAATTCAATTAAATAATCTATAAATTCAAAAATTTTAAAAAATATCTGAGAGAGAGAGAGAGAAACCCATTTAATTATTAAATTTAAAAATAATGACCACGAAGGGATACAAGTACAGAACCGTCATTTGGATCATAAACGATAACACGAGTTCCAATAGCAACTAAAAGTTGTGTGCCATCTGGTTTAAATGCCAACGAATAAATACACGAACTTTAACAAAAAATAAAATAAATTAATTAAATATATTAACCCAGCTTCAGCTTCGTCCTCATCTTCAAAAGAATGTTTGTCTATCCTTTAAAATAATTTGGCACTTTTATTTTTTAATTTAAAATTTAATTTTCTTACCAAGTTAAAACAGGTAACATAGTATTTTTAATAAATATTTTATTTTTTATTATTTTTATTATTTAATATTTTTATTTTTTTGTTGCCATAGCAACAAAAAATAAAAAATTTTTGACTACTTTAACGAAAAACTTACCCTCACGCAAAAGGAAGTTAGGTGTTTAGGTTTTTATATTTGTATTTAAAAAATTTTTAAATATCAAAATTAATAAAACAAATACAAGAAATTATCTTAAACATTCATATCTATTTATAATTAAACTACTAAATTCAACAAAATGCATTCCAAATTAACAATTTTATTGCCAAAGTATTTATTTAAACATCCAAATTAATTAAAATCACTTAATTTAACTTAAAATCATATCAGCCATATCTCCATTTGCATCGTCTAAAATAGCTTCTCGTGGGTGTCGGCGAACTTTCTTTTGTTTATTACCATGTTGTTTTCCTTGAGTAATAAATAATTGTAAAATAATTAAAAATAAAATAAATAATTGTTTTACTTGCATTCACTTTTAAAATTAAATAAAATAAATATTAATTTAATTGTATTTCTAAATATTTCGCCGCTTTTTATTCACTAAAATTAAAGAAGATTTATGTTTAATCAAATGTTTAAATGAATTAAAATCTTTTTTAAAAAGTCTAGCCACAAAATTAAATGTCTGGTTTTGTAAAATAAATTAATTTAAATTAAATTCTCATACGTATATTACTGCTAAAACGTGAAAATATCAGGGTTACTTCCCATCTCTTGAAACAACTAACTCGAACATGGACTTTTTTTATTAAACCATATGTTTAAATAATTTTTAAGAATGTACTTTATTTTAATATTTTTATTATAATTTTTTTGAAAGTTTGTTTAATAAATTATTGTTAAAATGTTACTTTTTATTTAAATACTTTCTGGGTATATTTTAAATTTTTTAGTAAATCTTAGAAATCCTCATGTAACAGTTATATTTTAAGTACAATTGTATCAAAGACTTTTTTTATTCTTTAAAAAATATTTACAGAATTAAGAATAGTAAAATTTTAATGAAAATTTCTTGAATTATTTTTTAAATTTTAAATTCTAATCTTTTTAAATTAGTCCATAGCTTCTACTTTTTACCATCTTTGTCTTCTTGTGGGTGACAAGAAATGGAAGAGACAAGAGTCCATTGATAATTTGGCAAATACCAAAAAGAGTCATCTGATCCTTCAACTTTCTTAATTGCAAATTATATATTAGTTTGATTATATATAAAAAACCAGGCAGAGAAGTTCTAACGCGTTACCACAACCTCTATCGGGAGGATCAACACAAAACCAATCATTAATTTTATAACGGCCATTAACCTAAAAATAAATTTAATTTAAAAATATTATTAGAGATAAACAATTAATTCTCGGCCTCCATCGCAAATAAATCCAAATTTTGGGCCATAATTTGGCTTTGAGTCTACTTGAGATCCATAACTCCCTAGTCCTGTTGCAAAAGGATGACTTTTAAGATCTAAGACTGATTCACGCACTTCTTTGCAGTTTTTTGACAGGGCGTAGGGTTTAAGTTCTGAAAATATTTAATTTTATAAATCAAAAATTTGTAAATGTTAGTGTTTTGTCAGTCAGATTTCTTTCTATCCCGTTGATACTAACCGTTGATACTAACTGGTTATAATTTATGATCTGTTCTCTTTCCCGTTATTTCCCCCCCCCCTCCCTAAACGATTGGGTATCTGATCAAAAGTTAACTGTTGACTTTTTCGCATTAATCATTATTAACTTAAAACAGGTCTGCTTTACCTGATTGATATGTTATTTTAGCAAATCCTTCTCCATTCTTCATAATCAAAATATCTGTATCTGCATCAGCAATTATTATAATAGGCATAATATGATTTCCACAACAAAGTCGAGCTCCTATAAATTACATATAATTTAGAAATATCCTCATTTTGAATGCGTTCTTAACAAAATAAATAAACTATAGATTGAATAATATAAAGTAAATCACCAATATTTACCTGTTATTTACCTGTTATAAAGTAAATCAGAATATTTACCTGTTGCTGTTTTATCCTTTTTGTATTTGATTTCAATATATCCTTCCTCACATGGATATCCACACAAAAATCCATTAAGTTCTTCCACGGTTATATATGTGAACTTTGCTTGTATTTTATCAGATTCTGGTTTTTTACGCTTATACAAAACATTATTTTATAGTGACTGTCTGATAAAATTACCTTTATAAACCAAAAACAATTGAAATTATCAGCTTCTCCAATTGTTATATATTGCCTTTTAACTGATGGTATTAATTCGATGGCCTTGCAATCATTAACTTTACAAATTAAAATTTATGTGAATTTAAAGTTAAACATGTTTTTGATTTTTAAATCATTTTATATTACATACATTTATATGTTGTGCATCTATGTCCGGCATACCCTGAAGGACAACGACAATGACAATCATTTATGGGGTCTGGATAACCACCATTTTTACATCTACCTTCATTTAGTTCATATTCGTAAGCATTACAGTCTGCAAACTTTCCACCATAAGGATAACTGGTTGTGCCTTTTAAATAGATTAAATATAAAATATTATTTGAATATTATTACAATAAATTCTGTTAAGAAGTTTTGCATCTTTAAATGAAATAAAAACACGTTGGCCCATTGTTTGTTGATAATCACGTGAAAGCGCAATAATGTTAAATCTATTAAAAGTATATTACAAAAATAAAGAAATTATATGAGCATTTCTTAATTTTATGTTAAATCTAGATCAGCTAAAATTTTACATTAAATTAAATAACAAAATTTTTGCCTAACTATCAAATAATAAAATTATAAGATTCTTTAAATTATTCTCTATAAAACAATTACTTTTCATAGTATCCAATTGGACTGTAATGCATGACTGAGCCAAAATCATATGGCTGCCCGTGTTGTACTGAAGATTTTAGGCGCTTATATTGATCTTTAAACTATAATTGAAAATTTTATTTTAAACAATAATCTTCAAATAGTTACTAGGTAATCTAAAGTTGTTTTATATTAATAAACTTAGGAATCCTATATTTTTATAGAATTCATAAAATATATCTTAGTTTTAATGAGAAGATTTTTGGAATCATTCAGATTTAATAATATAAAAAGTTTATTTAAAAACACTTCTTTATTTAATACATAACTTAAATTGTATCAATACCTAATTGCTAACTATTTTATTTAAATATACTAATTTTACTACATCTTCAGATATGTCCAAATAATTAATCCAGACAAAGTTGCCACGATCTTCACGTATCATTTCGTGATGGATACCTAATGCATGCATAATTTCATGTGCAACTGACCCAGCCTTAGTTTTTATAAAATATAGTGAAAACATATAAATTATTCTAAAAATACCATGCTTTAATTTAAGTATTAAATTGTGATTTCGAACTTAGAAGCAATTTAATATTTAAATTAGGGTTGAGCGGGATCGGGATCCCGGTCGGGATCGGGATCCCGGTCGGGATCGGGCGGGATTATCCCGGGTTTTTCAAATCCCGATCCCGATTTTTCTGATCCCGCTCCCAAAATATATATCCCGATCCCGGCCAATCTCAATCCCGAGCCGGGATCCGGGATCGGGATCGGGATGTGCATTAGATCCCGATGAAAATCCCGACTTTATAAATTGACTAGAAGTCTGCAAAATAAAGTTAACAGAAGAGGGGAGGCATGAAAGTAAGAAAAATTTTCCCCTGCGGCGCAGAAAATGGAAGAAATTTGGCATCTTGCCATCCAAAATTCTCAAAATTTTCGCCTGCGGCGCCGTAAAAATGAACAAAGCTTCATTACAATTTTAACGAGATATTGAGTGATTTGGATTGATATCGAGGGATCAAGAAGGGTTGAGGGGAGTATCGGTGGATTTGGAGTATAGAGGGATATCGGTGAATTTAAAAAGATTGAGTTAGATTTGAAGAGAAATCGAGGGCTTAAGAAATATTACTACATTAATATATCACTTAATCCCTCAATCTCAGTTCTTAATCGTCCACATTAATCGTATAGACTTGAACGCACTTAATCTTGAATGCCCTTGGCCTTCCAAAATTAAAAATATTGCCTGCGGCGCTTAAAAAGGAGAAAATCTGGCCCTTAATCCTTACAAATTTTTCAAAATTTTAAAATGGGAGAAGCCTAATCGCTTTTATCCCCCTCCCCCTATATACCTTATCCTCCCTTAATCCCCTGAACCGGAAAGTAAATCATGCGTCTATGAGACATAAACTCATTATTTCAGCACCGCAGTAGAAATTTTAGAATTATATTGAGTCGTATGTGAAGAAAATAAAAATTTAAAAGTTTTTAAAATCCCGATCCCGGGTTTTTCTCTAAATCCCGATACCGCTTAACTCTAATTTAAATTAGATGGAATGAATTTCCAAATCTATTTAGGTATATTTCTTATATTTAGTAATATAGAATAGGATAATTTCAACTATATTTTCCATTTCATTTTAATTGGGTTGATAAACTTAAGTGATCTGAGAGTGATTTCATTAAGGTGTTTTATCATCTGACTGTGACATTATTAATTTGTAGATCTACCTCTTTCAAACTTCCTTACATTACATTTATTTTTGAAAATTATTTATATACCTTGGGGCAGCGAAAAAATGACAAGCCAATTATATGTTCTGATTCACTAAATCCATTAGCACCTAGATTTGTTGCACATCCACGGTAAGCTTGAAAAAGGATGTATTTGTCTTTCGAATTAGGATCAATCCTTTCAAATGTGATGCAGGTTTTGTCACTACATAATTTTAAAAAATTATCTTAAAATATGTATAGTGTATGTAGTAGAGACAGGATTATCATTGATAGATAAAAATGAGTTCATGATTTCCAATGATAGAAATGAGTTTAGAATTTTACAAGCGATCAAACCTTATAAATTTTATACCACGCTCAATTCTTTTCCTCCATACTGCACCTATAAATTAGCTTTAAATTAGCTTTAAGCAACAATTATAATAATTTTAAAATCATTTAACAATCCCATTAAAAAACAAAATAATCAAATTTAATAATTAACTTTGTATAGTAAAGTCAAATGCATAGTAAACTGGCATTTTCCATAAAATTTCTGACGAAATACTATCTAGTTGTCTTTTATTTCTAGTACGATCCTTGCAGCCTAAATAATTTTCTTTAAATTATTTTTGAGCCACTCAATTTATTTTTTGGATTAATTAGATTGTAATATACTTATTATAAATTTAATACATTTACATTTCTTCTGATGTTCCTTTAATTCATTTATTTGCCTAAGATTAAGGAAAAGATCCCCAATAGCAATTGGAGGTGCATTTTCGCAGCCATTTACAAGATCGTACTCGTCACGTTCACCAAGTTTTAAAGAATCATTTGCGCTCCTTTTATTTCTACTTTTTGGATTTGGATATAACCAAGAATCGGGCTGAAAATGTCAAAAATTTGCTTTTCGCAAAGAAAATATTAGTTAATTACTACTTATTTTATGCTAAAATAAATTTAAAAAAACACATTAAATTTATTTTTACAATGTGTGAAGGACGAGGTTCATCATCACGACAAGGACAAGTCTTCTTTAATTTTTTTAATTCGTTAAAAGAACTGTTTAATTCTTTGAATTTCTCCAAACCGAGAATGTCACACAAATTTCTCGGTCGCTTATACTAAAATATAATATATAAGAATATTTTCACAATATGTATATCAGGGAGCTAGTCAACCCAATTCCCGAAACGTGAATTTATTTTTCTCTGAAATTCCCGTTTCTGATTTCTTATATGGCTAGATCTCTGGTGTACGTACTAAATTAGTTGTCAAGACTTACACAATCAAATCTTTCATTCATCCTTTCTCCATTTAATTCAAGATTAAGTATTGTCTCGCACCCTTTTTGTGACACATATAAAATGTCTATATTATTCGCATCAATCTGTTCATCATTTAAATTCATATCTGGACCGACCATGGCAAGCGCTCCTTCCTAAAATATTTTTATTCAATAGAATAATTAAATAGTTTAATAAGCTATGAAACAGAATAAGTAAATCGTTCATCAAAATTTAATTTTCATTCAAATACTACAATATTTCTGATTGCTACAATAAAATGATTTTAAGGAAATGATTTGAATTGGTGGTAATAACTCAATCGTAACTGTTAAAAATGACTAAAGTTTTACCTTATTCAAAATTTCTTTCATATTTCTTTCTCCAAAATCCGCTAGGACAATTCTACTATAATCATAAACTACATTATTTAACTCATCAATAAAAACTGCAAAGTTATTTTCAGAGTTTCCAATTGAAATTGATAAGAGTGTAGCTGATATTTCCTCTAAATCTAAAGGAAATAAGGACCCATCGCTTAAATATTTTCCTGTTGCGTTGATTATTTTGCCGAATTTAATCCTACGATTTTTATATGTATGTATATATAAAAAATTAATAAAGTTATACGTATGTTCAGAAAACGAAAATCCAATAATCACATCAACACGATATGTTATTTGATAACGTCCTTCTTTTTTAAAAATCTTAAACCCAACTCTGGTCGCAAAGACGCGAAATTCAATTCCGTGCCTTTCAGGACCTTTATTTGAACAAGATTTGGCGAAATCGCTTTTAGGGTTGTTTTCTATCTGAAAGATTTTTAAATTAACAAACATAATTGTTTTTGTAATAAATGTATCAGATTGATATATTTATGTACTATTATTCAGTAAAATATTAAATTTGAATTAAAAATATTACCGAACCCAAAAGAAATGAGGCTCACCTATTCATATTAATTTTGACAAATTAAGGTTTTAGATAATTTTGACTTAATTAAACTTTATAAAATTCAATTTATTATTCTATATAGAAAAAGCTACTTTCCTCAATAGGAGATTTATGCTTATGCTAATCTAAAATTATCAAATTAGATTGTACATATTTTGATTAGATTCCTAAGGATTAAAAAAATTATTTTACATTTTCTCCAAATTTCGTTAAATAGCAAAGTGTTAGATTGGCCGAATTCCAACTGAAAAAACGAAATATTAATTTTAATAAACAAAAATTGTTTACTCTCTTAGTATATTTTCATCTCCCGATTTATAATCACATATATAATTAGGACTATCCAATCCTTTATCATGTTTTATATATTCATCTATATCACAAGCCAAGTCGTATAAATAAGCTATTAGCTTGAATTGATTAATTATCGAGGGTTTAGTGCTGAGAATATCCTTAAAATGAGCAAATTTTGAAAAGAGAATTCTGTCTTATTTTAATTTTTTTGATAAAATATTTTTAGATTTTAAAGTTAATAGTAATAAATTTAGCAGATTTATGAAAATATTTTATTTTAAAATTATGAAACCAGATTTTATGTTAGCTTTATAAGTAGCTTTATAAGCTTCGATTTGTTATATTTTAATTTTTTCTCAATTTATTATATTTAAAATAAAATTCTTACACATTGCCTAGAAGCATTAATTTTGTTCTGATTAAATTTTAATATTAAATGACATGGCATGTCTGGAACTTCCATAGTGTCTAATATAGTAGACCCTTCATTCCAAAGGTCCATATCCAAGCCAAGAATTGAAAGCGCTTCATTCTTTAATTAACAAATTAATTAACTCATATGAATACTTTTCATCTATCAAATTTATATAACTACTTATATTATTAACATAATTTTAATTTCGCTTAAATAAATAGGTAGTGTAAAAAAATTTAAATTTTAAAAGAAAATTTTAATTCCTTTATTTATTTTTCAATTCAGAATAATAATTTAAAGAATTACTCCTTCAGCAATTTTATGCAAAGTTTTTTCCCCTCGGTCTTTCGTGGCAAGCATATCCTTTATCAGGAACTTTGTACTTGAAGCATATTCCCATTCTTTTTCATTTATGTCAGTTAATGTAGCAAACATTGTATCATCTTTACCAAGTTGGATTTTTAGAATTGAAATAGTTGCATTTTCTTTACTTGGATGTTCGAGAAAATTAGTTGTTTTATTAATAGTTCCAAAAATATTTAAATTTTGTTCAAAGAAGATACTAAATAATAAATGGTTTAATGATGATACTTCTGAGAAATTCTCCAATCTTGTAATTAAAATAATTTTTAACTATTATTGTTACTACGGTTCCATCAGTTGGATAATTTCTGTCTATTTTTTAATTTCACTCTAAATAGTATATGTATTTCCCCACCTTTTGTACGTATAAGAGAAACCGAGTTTAACATTAATTTTATATTCAATTTTATAATCATTATTGTCATTATCCCGTAAAAACGAGTTGCGCCTAGCACAAACACGAACTTCAATACCGTGTTGGCCCGACTTTCTACATTTTCTCCCATATCCAGAATATGGAATGTTTTTAAGCTAGAAAAGGAAATATCGAGTAAACAACAACTTTCATTTAAATTAACTTTAATTCGATCATCAGTTACATCGTCTAATATGTATGGATCCAATTTGGATTCGTAACAAATTGTCAGTTTTGACCACATTCCTCTAAAAAGACTTTATGACGCAAAATAAGTAATGTTACCCCCAAGACTCGAGACTCGATACTTGCCCTTTTCATCAAGTCCCGACCCCGACCATATTTCCCATAGTTGTTTATATTTATCTTCCATTTATTCCTTCCCAGCCTATCTTTACACTTTATCTCTTTTCTCTCATATATTGTTCACCTTCTTCCGTTCCCAACATAAATCACAATTACATTTATCCTTTTGTCAACAACTTTATACACTTCCTCCCATCTTTCCCAGACACATTTTGTCCTATAAACTTTGTCATATCCCACCCACTTTCTCCTCTATTTAATCACTTAACTATATCCTCATCTCCAGTTCAATTTATTATTCAATCCCAATATTAATGTCCATGTTATTGCCCCCATCAATTAATCCCTTATTAAAAACACTGCCCATTTAATTGTATTTTAAATGGAAATAAATATTATGAATTAGTCTTTAATTATTCGTTTAGTCCTCTGCGCCTCACCATCCCAAATCTCCCCCATACACATTCGGCGCTCTGAAGGTGCCTGGACCGGGAGGGTCCAGCGCATAACTGGTAGCACCGGATGGTTTCAACCCCCTCTAGGTCTTGGGCATCCCGATTTCTTTTCCCTGTGCATTTTACTCGCCCATTCCATATCCTAAATTTTTTAATTAAATTTAATTAAAAAATTTCTCTTTACCATTATTTCCATTCTTACCCTTCCTATTTTTATTTCCCTTTCCCAAGGTTCATTTCCCCTCCACTCAATCCTAATTTTTCAATCCGTATTCCCTCATATTTTCCAATATATTAGCAATTTTCCAATTCAACTAAACATTATACATTGGCGTTACAAAAACACCAATGCTTGTCTCCTACTATCCTAACCCCATCGAAAAGACATATTTTTCTTTCCATTCAATTTCCTTCCGATTTTTCCCCTTCTAATTTTTTTTCCATTTCTCTCCCATTCGAATTTTTAATTAGCATTCCCTTCTCTTCCCCACCAGACATTGGCGTTATAAAAAACACCAATGCTTTGTATTCTCCTATCCCCAGTTTACTTCCTAGTCGACTATATTTTCCTTCCAATCTTTGTCCCATACGCGAACTAATATTTTCATATCTCTTCCCATTCCACTCGATATTTTTAATTCCCATTCTTTCTTCTTTCCCACCAAAAAATAAAAACATGTCTTCATCCTACATATTAGGATGAATGATTCTCTGAGTCACAACTGATATAAATTCCAATTAATAATTTTTTCTAAAATACGACATTGGCGTCGAAAAACACCAATGTCCTTATCTCCATCCTTATTCCTTACCTCCTCCCCACCTATTAAAAAACAATTTTATTCATCTTTAAGTGAACAAAATGATTAATCCAATATAGTCCATTACTCCCCATTACACCCATCCATACAGCATTTGCGTTAAGAACACTAATGACTAATCAAAAGAATATTCCTCTTCCCATCCCCCGTCCTACAATTTTTTCCTCTTATCAAATTCCAGAATTTCTCCCCCAAGATTAATTTTCCACTCATTTCCTCTACCATTCGACCAGATCTTTTCCTTTTCCCTCCCCTAAAATTTCTAATTCCTATTCCCGCATCTTCCTTCCTCTCCCCTCCCAAATAAAAACACATCTTCATCCTATTAGGATGAATGATCTACCTTAAATAAATGCTCACTACATATGGATTGAAAACTTCACCTTTTAGCATTCACAACAACGTAATCTCTTAAACATTGGCGTCACAACACCAATGTCTTTTTCCAATATGAATAAGTGTAAACAGATATAAACTCCAGATTTAAGCACTTCCTTACCTTGTCCACGTGAAAACAGACACCAAATTAATAATTTATTTTTAATTTAAATTTTAATTTATGAACACTTTTTCCTTCGGCTACCTCACAGATTTTGCATTCCTCTTCCACTCAACAAATAAATCAACACCATCCATTAGAAAAGATAAGTTTGTTATTTTTCTATTACCTTCTTTCCTATCCCCAAAATTCGAACTTTCATTAATGGAGGATCTAACTTCCATTTTTGAAATTCCATAATAAGAATATCACTAATAACTAAAATTTGTATCCCACAACAGCCTTTACAAAACATAATATTGGCGTAGAAAGACACCAATATTTATCCCCTATTAATCTACCACTATCCTGCTTAACCGGAATTTCCTTCCCCCTTTTCATCAGGTCAACATTTATAACCTAATTTTTATAAAAAAAAATTTTTTCGCCCATTTATTCTTATCCCTCCCTATTATAAAAATAACTTGCTCACAAAATTTATATTTCCAAAATTTGTTAATTTTAAATTTCCAAAATTTTAAAATTTTTAAATTATAAAATTATAAATGTTAAATCTTCAATAACGGCGGATTTGAACCACCATTATTGAAATTCCAATCTAAATATACCAAAAATAATTTCCAGAAAATTTCTATCCTGGAACTTATCCCTACCCAAAACCCCAAAATTTAATACTAAACACTACTTCTCTTTCATTGAATATGGAATGAAATTGAAAATTATGTCCTCAAGTTTAAATCAAAATTTTTCCAATTTAATCCATTTTTACTCCACACATAAAGGAAGGATACTGGTTAATCCATTAATTATTAATTCAAAAATCCATTTATCATTAACAAAGTCCATTCAAAATTAAGTCGCAACCAAAAAAAAACACTGTCAATTATTCAATATCCTGAGAAGCGCCTTCCTATATTTATAAATAATCCTTAGCGGCGCAATAAACAAACTAATCCAATAAAGTCCTTTAAATAATTTAAAATCATTTTTCCTGTGCGCGCGATAATTAAAAAAAAATTATTTCAATAATCCATTACATTAACAAGTCCTATGAATAATAATCCGAAATAAAAATAGTCCTTAGGTTGCGACTCTGTCCTATAAAAAATGTCCTATAAAAAATTGTCCTATAAAACTTATTTTATAAAAAAAATTGTCGTATAAGAATATCCAAACCATAAATCAGTATCCGTCCTTTTTTTCAATCCAAAAAAATCAAACCCCCGCTTAAAATCTCAAAATTAAAACACATCGTTAGTATTAATTCATTTAATATTAATTGATTATTATCCCTAAATTTCTTCACATCCTTTAGCTCCCGATTCCACCTGTCACTTATTCTAATTAAATCCCTTTATCACCCATCCAATTTTTATCTCTATCTTCCTTATATAACAGTGGTTTTCGAATTACTGACGTTAATTTAATTAACATCAGCAATAAATCTTAATTTGCATTTTCCTACATTAACAAAACAAAAACATTTATCCTTATCCAATCTATCCTTTTTACTTCAAAGGCTAATTCCAAAATTTTCCCAAACTTACACCCCCCTTTCTAAATCCATGTAATCCTAAATGGACCATTAGATAAAGCAGTTATTGCTCTATAAAATGGCCGTTTTCCAATATCCCAAATATAAGTCAACTTAATTTCATTGAAAATAAAAGTGAAATAAAAGTCAAAAAATCAAACCACCCCTAAGCCTAACTTCATACAACATTTGAAACCCCATCAAATTCTGAAATCCCGATCTCCTAACAAATCCATTTACACCATTAGAAAGATCAGTCAATTCTCTATCTAATCAGTGCTTAGGAAATCCAGCTCCCTTAATCAACCTCCCAACATAACATGCAATCTATGAAATACCAATTCACTAAATATTTCCAAATATTAGTGAAATAACCTAGTTAATCCTATTAAGAATCCAACATTCCCCATCGATACAAAATAATCAATGGAGTCCCATATATAAAACAATCACAATCCCCAATACACATTATCTAAAGGGTTAGCTTTAAGATAATGAGATTCCACACTAATGAGTTTCCGCTGTCCAAACACATGTTCCAATAACTTTTCCATTTCCACAATTTTCCACTTCCAAAATTTTTTTCTCACAATCTTCCACTTCCCCTTTATTAATCCAAAAAATTCCGCGCAATTATTCAACAAAATTTTCAACAAATTCTATTTTCAACTTATTCAACAAAATTCTATTATTCAAAAAATAATATAATTCAAATAAATCATTTTTACTTTATCAATAACTACGACAAAACAACTTTGTTAAATGCACATTGTTTTGATAACTCCAACTATTGAGACAACATTAAATGGTTGAACTTTTAATGATATGAACATGGAGCCACGCGAAGTGCAATAGATGATCGGAAAGAAGTCAAATTAAGGAAAGAACTTATGAAATAAACCCATTAAAAATTTAGTGATTTTATTCAAATAGTCCACATTTTATCATTTCTATCAAATCAATTGTATATTATCTCAAATCCACTCATTTCTACCATATTCAGAGTATCGAGTCTTTAAAAACAGGGAATTAAATCATCCTTAAAACAAAAAATTCCCTTCCAATAAAAATCAAACGGTGCTGAAATAAGTAAGTCACCATTTGATCACGAAAGCCCAACGTGAAACCTCCAAATAAACATACACCCAAAGGCCCAAGAAATGACGGAATAGACAACCATCATTTCTAAATCTAACAAATCCAAAATGGCGGCCTAAAAATCCACCATTTACATCACATCTCCATTGACTCTACAAAAAATACTAGAATAGCCAAAACAAAATAAACTCCACTCCCAAAAATGTCGGACTTAAAACCCAACATTTGATCCAAACTTCACTGAAAATTAAGAAAATTTTAATGTCGGACTAAAAAACCACCATCAGACTCGATCTTCCTTTCCCCTCCAAAAAAAACCAACCAACAATCCATAAGCGCAGGGTCGCGCTTATTGGCGGCAGGGAGATGTTACCCCCAAGACTCGAGACTCGATACTTGCCCTTTTCATCAAGTCCCGACCCCGACCATATTTCCCATAGTTGTTTATATTTATCTTCCATTTATTCCTTCCCAGCCTATCTTTACACTTTATCTCTTTTCTCTCATATATTGTTCACCTTCTTCCGTTCCCAACATAAATCACAATTACATTTATCCTTTTGTCAACAACTTTATACACTTCCTCCCATCTTTCCCAGACACATTTTGTCCTATAAACTTTGTCATATCCCACCCACTTTCTCCTCTATTTAATCACTTAACTATATCCTCATCTCCAGTTCAATTTATTATTCAATCCCAATATTAATGTCCATGTTATTGCCCCCATCAATTAATCCCTTATTAAAAACACTACCCATTTAATTGTATTTTAAATGGAAATAAATATTATGAATTAGTCTTTAATTATTCGTTTAGTCCTCTGCGCCTCACCATCCCAAATCTCCCCCATACACATTCGGCGCTCTGAAGGTGCTCGGACCGGGAGGGTCCAGCGCATAACTGTAATATAAAAATATTTTACTCCTCGCAATCCTTATTGTATTCTTTGTCAATTTCTTTGCATTGTTTATGTAAATCATTACGATGCACTTTATTGTAAACTTCTGGAATGCAGCCAAGCTCGTAAATATTGGCATATATTTCCAAAATATTATGTTCATTATTTAGCTTCTTTTTATATAAATCCTAATAAAAAAATTTTTATTTTTATTAAATATATCCATATTATTTCTTAAAAGTTTTGATCGAGTGGGTATGTGATTTTTATGTAATCTTTGTTAAATTAATTTAAAAAGTTCAAAAAGATTATGTGTTTGCTATATGGTAGATATAAATTTTTATGATAATAATTAACTACCTCATTTATTAGGCAATTTCCAACATATTTCCAAAAGAATAATGTCGTTTCATCATTATTCGCTTGAATATTCTTAGATAATAAAAGCATCATTTCCAATTTCAAAGCGAATATTCCCGCATAATCGTCAATTAAATATTCATTATTCATTCTTGAGCCATCAAACAGATTACTATCAACATTATTAGCATTAAATATCTTTCCTATAATATTTTCAAAATACAAATAAATGTAAGACAAGAAGTCCGTAACTTCTAACTATTACCCGCCCAGTACCCATTATGATTGATTATCATTGTCTTTAATATTAATTGATAACAAACGTTTGAGAGAATTATCCTTTCCAAGGAGGAATGATATCAATTCATAAGGCTTTATTTCACGTAGTATCAATGTTTCTCTGCAAAATTAATGTTTTCTTTCTTTTAAAATAATTTAATTTTTATTAATTTACTCAAATTTATTTTAACTAACCCTTCTGGAAATATATCTGAATGAACTTCCAAAATTCCCTTTCCTTTCTTTATAATTACAATTCCGTGCCATTCTGCATTTTTAATTTCTTTAATTTTTGTAGAATTCCCCATTTGTGAATTATCGCACATTTGACTTTTTCCTTTTTTTGTTAATTCAAAGCGTTTGTTGGGTTTCCAATTTCTTTTGGAAGGCAAACTCAGATGACTTTGATAACAAATAAGTATGCTGTAATTTTATTAAAATAATTTGTTTTTAAAATATTTATTGCTTTTAAGTTATATTAAAGTCAATTTTATTTTGCAAATTCCTCTATTAGAATATACACCCTCTGATAAGGCACCCTCTGATAAGGCACCCTCTATTAGATGCACTCAGATTTCTCAGATTGTGGATAAAACTTGTTTTTTAAATATGTACATATTCAGAAAAAGTATGTAAAATGTGTACCAAAGTAATACACCTTTTAATGTACTTACCCTTTACAGTTTGTTATATTATCCGTCGGAATATTTTGGTTAAGCATATCCTTATAAAGGAGTTTATAAACTACTCAGAGAAGTAAATTTTGTATCATCAATTGAGCTTTTAGATTTTATTATTGAATAAAATATTAAAAACAAAATTTTCGGAAATGCTCTTAAAGGCATTTTAT